CCTAACCTAGTTCCTCAGTACAGGTACCGATTACCTGGCCTGCCTTACGTGGTTGGGCTTTACTATCAGAATTGCTTCATAGAGAAGATACTGTTGTCATTTGCTTTGCTCACATTAAAAGAATGGGCACTTTGGCCTGGTGCGGTGGCTCACGCCTGTAATTCCAGTACACCGAGGCGGGCGGATCATGAGATCAGGAGATCAAGACCATCCTGGCTAACATGGTGAAACTCCGTCTCCACTAAAAATGCAAAAACATTAGTTGGGCGTGGTGGTGGGCGCCTGTAGTCCCAGCTACTCGGGAGGCTGAGGCAGGAGAATAGTGTGAACCTGGGAGGCAGAGCATGCAGTGAGCCGAGATGCCACTGCACTCCAGCCTGGGCAACAGAGTGAGACTCCATCTCAAAAAAAAAAGAATGGGCACTTCTAGAAGGAAACTCAAGACTCAAGAAACTGTTAATAGTGATTGTCTCTGGAGAGCAGCCCTGGAGTCTGAGGCCTCACTGTACTACCTGCAATTGTTGAGGGTGTGCATGCATTGGATGTTCAATTGTAAACAACTAAGCAAATAACTGAAGGGCAGGGGGGACTTCCTTTCCTCTGAGAAGTCTCCCTAAACCTTCTTCCAAATTAAAGCAAAATTCCTTATAAGCAACTCTCATAACATCTGTGGAGCACAGTGAGCGCTGCAGGACTCACAACTTTCTTTAATAAACACTAAGACATGAACAAATGCATGAACCTATCACTGGCTCCCTAATGGCCTTACAATAAACTCTTCAAGTATTACCTTGGCCTTCAAGACCCGTCGCAGTGTGGCCCCTGCTTCCAAATGCTACACTGCCCGATGCTTTGCCGGGCTGCCTGGGAGCCTCACCGCTCTCCTGAATGACCTGTCCCCACACACCAGGGCAGGCTCAGGGGTCAGGGCAGGAGTCCCCCTGCGGCTTCTTCCCTGCCCCCAACTCCCCTCACACACTCAGCCTACCGCACCCTGGGCTGTACCACACAGCGCAGGATGTGTGTTTCCCAACAGGACCAGGGCACTGTGTCTATCCTACCCTTTCCGATATCTCTAATAACTCACAGACTACACTGGACATAAGAGGAGCTAAAAAAAAAAAAAAAAAAAAAAAGTTGAATGAATCAATGCTAAAATATTGTAGAAGATAATATAACTTAGTGACTAAAAACAGGGGTTCTGAAGTCAGAGCATCTTGGTCCAAATCCTGGCTCTACCATTTAATAGCTGCGTCCCCTTGCACAAGCTATTTATCCTAAATTTGAGTGTCCCATAAATCAGTAAAATGTAGTATACACCTCCAAAGATCTGGGAGGATTAAACGAGATTATGTACAGAGGCACCTGGCACAGTGTTTACACAAAGAGCTCGATAACATTATTATTGCTACCACCATTGACTTCTATGTTTATTTGCCTTTTACTGTCCCTAAGTACTTAACACTTAAAATGTCCAGTTTTCTCAGTTATACTCAAGAGAAACAGTTAAACCAGGATTATTATATCTGGAAACTGCTGTATGAATAAAAGTGATAATCCTCCAAAGGAAAAATGACACTTAAAGAAGACAGCGTTGGAGACCATTATCTCTCTCCACCTTCTTCCGCAAAAGGTTCTCCTTTCAGTGCCCAGTTCTAGAAGTTCTAGATTGTACTTTATTGAGGGAGGCTGTAATTCCTTTACACTCCTACACTGCCATCAGCTTCTTGCAAGGCTATTTCTGGGTTTTATTCCAGGTAGCTGGAATTGCAAGATAATAAAGTAAGCAGGGAGTTACTACAATTATGATCTACCCATATAATTACCATAAGGAGACGTTCTAGTCACAATACTGATAAGAATAAAAAGTCTTTCCACTACAAAATATAGATATATACAGATGTGGTTCCCCTACTAGTGACGCAAGTTAAGATACATACGTAGGTAGCTAAACACATATGTATGCATATATTGTATAGATGCATGTTTTGTACTTCCTTTCTGCTCCAAACGACTCGTACTCACTCCATTAAATTCCACAATATTTACTGATTCCCCTTGATACAGTCTGGATATGCATCCCCTCCAAATCTCATGTCCTCAGTGTTGGACGTAGGGCCTGGTGGGCGGTGACTGAATTATGGTGGGGGTGTCCCTCACGAATGGCTTGGTGCTCTCCTGAGATGGTGAGTGAGTTCTTGTGAGACCTGGCTGTTTAGAAGTACGTAGCACCTCCCCACTCTCTCGCTCCTGCTCTTGCCATGGGATATGCTGGCTCCCCCTTTGCCTTCTGCCATGATGGAGAGTTTCCTGAGACTTCACCAGAAGCCCAGCAGATGCCAGTGCCACACTTTCTGTAGAGCCCACAGAACCATGAGCCAATTAAACCTCTTTTCTTTGTATATTACCCAGCCTTGGCTAGCTCTTCATTTTAGGCAATGCAAGAATGGCCTAACACCCCCTTCTATGTGTGAGACACCATGCCAAGAGACTTGGGGTGCATACACATGAAAGCCAGTCTTGCTATAATCTAATGAAGGACACACACACACACACACACACACACACACAACTGAAGGAACCAAAGCTGCAGTGAGATGCTGGTGGTCCTCCGGGATTGCAGACTCATCCATACAACTGCCCACTCAACGTGTCCACAGAAACGAGCCCACACTGAAGTATCTTAACGGGGCACCTGCTCACCTTCCATCACCACACAGGGAACACCAGGCTCCACCCAGTCACCCAAAGCAGACACGTCAGTGTCCACCTTGACTCATCCATCTCACCCACTCCATCCCCGAACCTACTCCACTAACTGAGCATATACAATCCACTCACTTCCCCTACCTCTGCGCCACTACCCTAATTCAGACTTCTGTGATGTCTAATCTAGTACTAAGGCAACAGCCTCTGAAAGATCCCCGTCCCCTAGCCTTATGCCATGCCAACTGGTCTCCATAGCTGCAACCGAAGGGCTTCAAACAAGCAAAAGTGTGTACATGTCACTATGCTGCCTGTATTTCTTCAGGAGGGCCTCTCCAGCCTTATTTTCCACACCTCCTCTCATACTCTGTGATCCAGCCAAACTTTTAATTCTTGAAATGTTCCACATTACCTTTTGACACTTGGAAGTCTTCCACCTGAAAGTTGATTCCCTAGCCGCTTTCTCTCTCTTTGCCCAATGAGTTCCTGTTCATTCTCTGATTGTCATTTCCTCTGGTATTCTTCCCTAATCTCTTTAGGCTTGCCAGGTTCAGTGGTTATGCTGGACACTTTTGCTTTCAGGGCTACCCACAGCCCAAGCTGCCTTCTATTTAGTAAGACTCCTTTAACGTGTGGGTCTTTGCGAGACATAAAGACCATCTCTCTCCATCTCCCTGCTCCCTGGCAACTGCAGTGGCTTGGCAAAAAATGTCACAAAGATGCAGGAGCAATAAGAGATTTTTCAGTGGTAGAAGAGAGTCAAAAGTCCAGCAACAGACATGGCAGTTTCTCCAGTGGCAATGTCACCAGCAGCAAAATTCTAGGCAGGCTATTTATGTGATATTGCCTTGGCTGTGGCCCCATCCAGCCAGCCTCTTTTGGTTGCTGCCTGGTTTTTGAATCCAGTTCCCTGGCCTTCCCATCAATTCTGAAAGCCATCTACAGCCTTCCAATAAATTCCTTTTCTGCTTAAGTCAGCCAAGTCCATTGCCACGGTTGACAACCAAGAATCATGACTGGCACTGTGACACTCTGTGTGCATGACATTAGACTGCACTGCCAATGCACATTTGCTGGTTTATATTCCCCACCATCTTGTTCATTTTACTCTAGTGCAATGGCTGGCACAAAGCAAGCATGCGATGTTTCCTGAACGAATTACTTAATTTCACTAGTAATCAGAGTCGGAAAGCAAGGAAAACGCTTAGTGGAGGACCACAGTGCATTCCTAAAAAACCAATCTCAACAACAGTCGAGAGTCACAACTACCAATTAGAAATATACAGCTTAATTTATTCGCCTATTCATGGATTTAGAAAGTAGGATTCTTCTATCTGGGATACAAACCACCTTCTTGAAGATGAGAAAGAGAAGAAATCAAACTAGGAGAGTCTATTTCATTAAGGTTAGCGAGTTCTACTCTAATAAAACAAACCTAATTGGAATGAATATTGGGGAAAACGTCCCTTCAACCAGGTGAATACCCACTTGTCCTTGAGACCTAACTCAAATAATATATCCTACAAGAAGCTTTCACCACTCTCCACCATCAATCAGCCGTAACCTCCACTGTGCTCCCATCTCTCTATTTTAGTACGTAGAAAAGGGTATTATATTTATTTACGTCTCTTCGACCAGACCTCAAAATCCTCTAGGGAAGTATATTATTATTTCCAACACCTAGAAGGGTGTTTGGCATAAAGCAAGAACCAGTGTTTTTGAAATGGAGCCACTTTGCTCTGCTTAAAAGGTACCAATGGAACTGTCCTATTGTTCGCAACTTTTCTGTAAATCTTAATTTATTCCGAAATAAAGTTTAAAAAAAACCACACACACACCAGTGGCAACTGTGTTATGAGCAATTATCACACCTGCCTTACATGTCGTGCAAGAAAAGAGCTTTACCTTGTGCCAGTAGCAGTAATTTTGTATACAGCAAAGTGAGTCTGTTTGTAAAAAGGGAGTAATTCTTACTACACAAGACTGCTGTACTAAATGAAGTACAGTGAGTATGCCACATGACATATGAGCTCTTCGTAACAGGGTTCTGATGAGTAATGTCACGGCCCTTGTCTACAGTGTTCTAAATGGACTAGCACCTCACCACAAAACAGATACGTACTACGACTAGGATGTCTCCAGGCATAGACTGCAAAGCTGTAACTCAAATCACTATTAAGACTGTAATTACCTATAAAAGTATTCTACATGTGTGTCCACGGATGTGGGATGTCCTATTCCAAAACTCCCCAATGAAATAAAAGGGCTACTGAAAACCCAGGTCAACCCACAGAGGTCAGCGGCCACTGCACCCCGCCTCCACCAGCTTAAACTCCAGAAGGAGGCCGCGCACCCAAGGCGTGCTAACTGGCTGGCTGGGAAGAGGTGAGCATCTACAGAGAAACCCACTGCTGCCCGCAGCGGTGTCAGGCAGCCGGGGGTCTCCCCGCAGTGGCGCAAAGCGGACTGAAGTCGGGAGTGGCTAGGACCCTGCGCTGCCACGGCGGTGCTCTCGGCCAACGCACTCGTGTGCCCTCCGCCCGCCCACACCAGCGTCGCTTAACGGAAGAAGGCGCGAGTAGCAGCGGCGCAGCCAGAGCACCTGGGGGTGACACATGAGTGGGCGGGCGGTCCAGGGAGCCCCTGCTGGAAACCAGACGCTAAACCTTGCAGCTGTGCAGCTAAGGGAGCATCTATTTTCCACTTGAGAGCAACCTGGGCAAGCGAGAACGGCCCGATTTCGGTGCAGGGGTGCATCCCGAGGGGGCGGGGGGCTGTTTCTGCGCGGACAGGCGGACCGAGCAGGGGAAACCGAGGCCACGCTGGATCCGCAGCCCCGAGGTGTCCACTAGAGCTCCGCTCGCGCGAGGGCGCGACGCGAGGCTGCCCGCGGGACCGGCCTGCGGTGCGAGCGGGTGAGAGGGCAGGGCGGCGGCGGGGGCCGGGGGGAGGAGGGCTGCGAGGCAGCGTGTGCGAGCGAGTGAGGGTGTGTGTCCGGGCGTGAGTCTGGGCGGGTGTCGGGAAGGAAGGCGACAGGGAGGGGCGGAGGCGGGGGGAGGGGGGAGGAGAAAGAGCGAAGGGCCCAGACGGGACTCTGGGCGCCCAGCCGCCCGGCTTCAAGCCCTCAAGCCACCGCCCCCAGGCCCCGCGCTGACGCTGGACGGTCCCCGCCTCCAAACCCCCCGCCCCGGCCAGAGAATAACTTACCTGTTTGGCGACGGAATCGCTCCTGCTCGCCCCTCTGACTGACTCCTCCGGCTCACCGTCTTCCCTTTGGGAGGAAGAGGCGGGACATCCTGTTTCTCCGTTGAAGGACTTCCGGTGACATCCAGGGCGACTCCGTCGTGGATGCAGCGCCGGATGCCACAGCCGAAAAACAGAATCTTGGAACTGGTTTAGTAAGATCCAGGTCGAGTTCCTTGTTTTTTATCCGAGTGGCCGGCAGGCTCATGTGTTGTCTTGTTTTTAACCCATCAGCTCTTGTCGGAAGCCGCTCGGAGATAAAACAGGAAGTCCCACCCCGCCCTTAGAGAAGGAAAACGGAGAGCCGAAGGAGTCAATCTAAACACGTTGAGCGCGTCGGGCTCGAAGGCCGGCGATGTCGACCCGGGAGGAGCGTCTGGGATTTCTAGAGGGTCCCAGAACGGGTTCTTCCCAGGCCGATCCCGCCTGCTTCCTTCCCTGTCCCTCCACCCGGCTCCCGCCCTCAATAAAGGACCCCGAGGGCGGCGCCGGAAACACGGAGAAGGCCCAGAACGGAGGGGGACCCGAGAGGCCTACGCTGGCAAACGCAGCCCGCTGCGTCTCTGCCGGCTTCCCCGGGACCTGGAGTGGCTCCTGTCGCTTCTGGCGCTCCGATTTCGAGAAATGACTTTCAGCTGTGCAAGGCGAGAATGCTACTTTAAATGATGAGAAAAATCTCTCGAATGGCTCCCCAAATAAGGTCCTTGTTTCAGAGGCCACAGGAAGCCACCAAGCCGAACTCTGATACCAAAAAGGAGGCCAAGAAGCGGAATGTGGCTTGGTGACCAGTTTGGTATTGCCAGACTTTCCGCTTTTATTAAAGCTGAAACACCTTGGCTGTTTAAAACGTTCGACAAGGACTTTATGAACGTTAACGGCCCAGCACACGGGCTTGTTAGGAAAAAAAAGGCAGGACATCAGGATGTGGTGGTGAACAGCCCGCCTGCCCCCTTGTGCAGGTCCATTCATGAACCTCGAGTTGGAGGCCTTTCTTCTGAAACCCAGAATCTAGTAGGGAAGACCTGTGTAGACGAATAAATACATCACAGCCTGTTAAGTGCTGTGACAAAGACGCGGTGAAATCCTGCTTGAGGTCATCTGCCTTGCTAAAGAGTTTTGACCATGTTGTAGGCGCAGGGTTAGGGATAGGGTAGGGTTAGACTCTGTAATGGGAAGTTAGGTGATCAGATTTCTATTTAGGAAGATCATTGGCCAGGCCAGGTGGCTCACGCCTATAATCCCAACACTTTGGGAGGCGGAGACGGTGGATTGCTTGAGGCTAGGATTTTGAGACCAGCCTGGCCAACATGGTGAAACCCCGTCTCTACTAAAAATTTAAAAATTAGCGGGGCGTGGTGGTGCGAGCCTGTAATTCCAGCTACTTGGAGGCTGAGGCGGGAGAATAGCTTGAACCCAGTGGCGCAGGCTGCAGTGAGCCGAGATTGCACCACTGCACTCCAGCCTGGGCCACAGAGCGAGATTCCATCTCAAAAAATTCATTGTAAGTAATTGGATTTTTTTTTTCTTTTTTTTGTAATGTTATGAAGATAGGCTTTCTAGACCGAATCATCACTCAAGGCCAATTCCAACACGGTTCAGTTTAAATCATAATGCATTCAAGTAATAATTAGTTACCTTTTTGCATAGTTCATAGAGAACTTTTTGTAGACATTATCTGGTTTAATTCTGATTGTAATCCACATGAATTCTCTTATCCACAGTAAGGAACAGTAATTTAGAAGACTCTAATAAACTGTTCCAAGATCACACAGCTAGTAAAAGTGGAACTCAACCTTAAACTCCAGAGTCAACCTTTTCTATCTATCATGTGGACTCAGTTTAGTAGTAATAGTTATTTAAAAATTGTAGAGAAAAATGTGGAAAACAATTTCCTCACAACAGGTGACCAGCTGCGGATGTTATTTCTATTCCATTAACCAACATTTATTAGGTGCCTGTTATATAAAAGATAAAACTGGGTTCTGCCTTCAAAGAGTTCACTTGAAATTTAAAATTTATTTGAAAATTTAGTACTTCCTACTCTTTCAATAGCTATTTCAACACTGTTGGTCTTGTATAACAAGGTGATAAATTTCTTGACAATGACAGTAGCACAATTCTGTGTATGGATTGGGCATTCTGTGATCTTTGGGTGATTTATCTTGCTACCTTTCTTACCTTGGGGGTTTAGTTATCATTTATCTTCCTCCCTTGAGCAGTGAAGTAAAATCTAAGTTTATGTTTCAGTTCTATTTTGAGTATTTTGAGTTACTAAGACAAGACCCTAAGGAAGTCAGTTTGACCTCATTTCCAGCCGAGAGATTCCATTGATCTCATTCAAGACTAATTTTCTGATTCTAAGGAAAAAGGGAAGTCTTTTTTTTTTTCCTTCCTCTCTTTCTTTTTGAATGAATAGTGCTTGACATGGACAACACAGAATTGTAGTGAAGACAGAGAGTCGTAGTGATGAAACCACCTTTGCAAAAATTACAACAGAAAATTATGACAGTGAAAGAGATCTGACCTCACCAACTCCATCTTGCTTCTAAACTCCAAGCTGTCCTTGTTCATTCCTGGGCATAGGCAGAACTAACTTTGGGAGGAACTTAGTTTACAGTATAAGTTTGAAACAAAGATGATAACAGCCCATTCTGAAAACAAATCCCCTTCTGGCTTGGGGACCAGACTGCCTTTGTAGGACTAACAAATTAGCCACAAGATTAGAAATTATGATTTGGGAGTCATGCAACTAGAGGCCACAAGATTCTAAACCTCCCGAATTGCTCCTAAGGATAACATCACTATGTAAAACCCAAGATTGGTGCTTGAGACGTTTTTCAGACCCGCACTCATGGATCAGCTAGCACCACTCAGATGGATAAACTGGCTCATCTAGTCCTTTAGCCCCCATCCAAGAACTGACTCAGTGCAAGAGGACAGTTTCAATTCCCTATGATTTCATGTCACACCAGAGCAATCAATTCTCCCCACTCCCTGGTCTTCTACTCCCCAAATTATCCTTTAAAAATCCCAGTCTCTGAATTTTCAGGAGACTGCTTTAAGTAATAATAAAACTCTGGTCTCCTGTTTAGCCAGCTCTGTGTGAATTAAACTCTTTATTGCAGTTCCTCTGTCTTGATGAATCCACTGTGTCTGGGCAGCGGGCAAGAGGAACCCGTTGGGTGGTTACAGTGACACAAGGAACCCCTGGGGTCAACACCTGCTCGAAGCCAGCCCCACTTGAGACCTGTTAACCAAAAAAAAAAAAATCCTTTTCTTATTTAAGTCTATTTTTCTTTTACTTGCACCATGAAGCAGCCTAAATGATACAGAAGTTTTATTGCCAAATCTACTAGTTACAGTCTTAAGAAAGTTGCAAAGGAAAAACTCAGAGCAAAGATTTTCAGTCTTCGTAAATTCAAAATATATGCTTTTATCATGTCTGAGAAAAGAAAGCAATCAATATATTCACATCTTTTTCTGGGTATATGTGATATTTTTTCCATTGGATAATGAATAGTAAACACTTTTACAATAGCAAGTTGACAAAATGAGGATGTATAAAATTAAAATATATCAACTATTAAATAAATGCCAGGCATTATGCTACAAACCGTATATGCATTATTTCAATTAATCTAACTACTCTTAAATAGATACATCATTTGCATTTTACAGATGAGAAAAATGACGTTCAAAGAAGTGACGTCATGTTCTCTGATTCTGTCTATATTGGGTACCTGGTGACGATTTCCCTCTGTCTAATACCTTAAACATCTGTTCACCTGCATGCTGCTTCTGTTCTGGACCTCTGCGCTGGATATAGTCCCAACAGAGTGGCTTGCTGGGAGGAGGGAGATACTTTTCAGATAAAGCACTAGCACTTCATCCTAACAACTTCTTCATACTGAGGCAACATTTTTAAATACACACAGAATGCCTAGGATTCAACTGTTGAGAAAAACCGATGTAAGTCTGTTTGTCTCAAAGAAAGCTGTCAGGAACTACAGTTTTATTAACCTAAATGAACACCTGGTTTGATGATGACTATGTAAATGTATTTTTAGCTAATTAATTTATTTCTGCCCATCAGCCAATGAGTGGATAAAGAAAATGTGATATATATACACTATGGAATACTACTCAGCCGTAGAAAGGAACAAAGTAATGGCGTTGGCAGCAACCTGGATGGAGTTGGAGACCATTATTCTAAGTGAAGTAACTCAAGAATGGAAAAGCAAATATTGTATGTTCTCACTCATAAGTGGGAGCTAAGCTGTGAGGATGCAAAGGCATAAGAATGATATAGTGGACTCTGGGAACTCGAGGGGTGAGGGATAAAAGACTACACATTGGGTACAGTGTGCACTGCTTGGGTGATGAGTGCACCAAAATCTCAGAACTCACCACTGAAGAACTTCCCCATGTAACCAGAAACCACCTGTTCCACAAAAACTATCGAAATAACATTTTTTAAACTTTAGTATTTCTGGGTGAAATTTACATAGATTTCTCAGAAAAAAAATATTTAGAACTGAGGTATCTATTAGAGAACTGAGTTAAATTATTACCACTTAAAAACACAGAAAGTGGTATAGCCACTTTATGAATTTATCAGTTAGCAATGGCTAGGTTAAGCTTAGTGGTTTATAACCAAATCTTAGTAGTTTATAATAACAAATGTGTATTGTTAATTCCCACTACAAATTTATCAAGACATTGCTGGATGCTACACTCCATGTCTCTTTGTGGGACCCAGGCTCATGGGACTTCCGTTGTCTGCATTAGAGAGAAAGAGAAGTCAACAAAACATGCACTGGTTCTTGAAGCTTTGGCCCAGAAGTAAAATATATGTTCTCTGTTCACATTGCATTGGGCCAAGGAAATTATCGTGGCCGCAAGTGACTTCAAAAGGATGGGGAAGTGCAATCTTGGCATTGTCAGAAGAAATGAAAACATTTAGTGAAGAGCATTAATGACTGTCTTTACAGGAAAAAAACAGAATCAAATAGACATGATTTCTTGTTTCAGTTTCATCATTTCCTACTGTGTTACCTAAACTTTCTGAGCCTCAGTTTCTTATTACTAAAATAGAATAATGATAAAGATGATATTCACTTCAAGGACTTTGTGTTAACTATGGTAAAAAAAAAAAAAAATTGAAAACTGTAGCAAGTTATGCAAATTAGAAATGTATAATATTACTGCTTTGAAAGTGATGATGAAATGTAGAATAATTGAGAGGATAACGCAAAGCACTTATACCAGGAGGCTTTTAGCTGCAGATAATAGAAATGAACTTCCACTACTTTAATCAATAAAAAAGTGTGTTGGCTCACAAATTTGTCATCCAGACATAAAGGAGGATTCAGAATTTATTGACTCAGGAGTTGGATGTTAGTATCGAGGACCTAGATTTTTCTCATCTGCACTTCAGTTCTCAGTGCCTGATTCAACATGGCATTTGAAGATGGCTAGAGTGATTCCAGGGATAACATCTAGAGAGAAAAAAGAGAACTCCTTTTCTTACGATTTTTCTCTTAAGAGAAAAGGAACTTCCCAAAAGCCCCCAGCAAGCATGCCTTCACATCCCATGGCCAGAAGTGGCTCACATATGTACCCTGAGCTAAGCACTGCAAACAGGAATGGGATTGCCTGTAGGCCTCGGAGATCACCTGGATCTTGGGAAGGTGTCAGCTCTACCTGTGGCACTTGGCTGAGTGGGAAAGGGATGGAAACATGAATAAAGTAAGAATTAGGAAGGAAAAGGAGATATGGATCCAGGGTAGGAAGCCAATAGTTGTAGTTATCTCAAACAAATATGATTGATTTCATCTTTATGAATGTGATGACCTAATTTAATACATTCAATCAATGAAGTAAAAGAAAGTGCAAGGACAATATGACATCTGTCATTCTCTGTTGAGATTTGAGAGATAATACCAAGAACGTGTGGTGACCTGGGTCCTCACTGCTACTGTCTTTCTGTACCTGGACACTTCCTAGCAAGAGACTTCAACTTCAGAACAAAGAGGATCCCAACTTGTAACTGCATTATACACCCCAGCCGCACACATAAGTTGCTTTCTAATTATTCCTCTTTAAGAAATTGTAGAATATTTATCTATGTATAAATGAAAAAATAGAAAATTAAAATAACAAAAATAAGTAACACCATGTATTGAGTGTCTACTGCATGCTAGGTGCTGTGCTAAGTGTTCTACATATATTGCCATTGTGCTGCCAACGACTCTGCAATAAAGATGTTCCCATTCCTACTTTACAGCTAAGGAAACCAAGGCTCAGAGAAATAACATATTTTGCCCAAGATTATCCAACTGGTAAAATCTGGAGTCCGAATTTGAACCAGAGTCCACTCAACACACTTTCACCTCTACACCAGTGCTTTCTGAGTTTGCTGCACATTAGAATCACCTCAGGAACTTAAAAAAATATCCCAGGTGATACCCCATAGCAAGAAAATTAGAAAGTCGGGCAGGGGAAGAGGCACCCAGGCATCAGTACTTTTTAAAGTCCCCAGGTAATTCCAATGTGGAGGAAAGTTAGGGAACCATTGTGCTATATTATGTTGCCTCTTCAGCCAGGAATGTAAACCAGAATCTTTTCTTCCAAGGCCAAGAGCAGTGAATGATAGCTTAGGGGCTCATGGTGTATACTCTCTTTCCCAAGTGATCCTCTTCCTCAGGAGTTCTGCTTTAGAGTAACTAATTTCAAGTTTCCCTTTCACTGCATTTCTCACCCATCCAAAGCTAAAAATACTACAGGAGACTTTTGTCGACAGGAAGAATGATCAATGACATGTTTTCCCTAATTAGGATCAATGATCAATGGTGTGTTTTCCCTAATTAGGATAAAAAAGCAAGAAAAAATATCAAGTTTAATTTTCTTCTTACAAAGTAATCACTCAGACTCACCTGGAATTTAGAGAGCATTTAATTTCTGGCCTCTTTTTTTTTTTTTTTTTTTTTTTTTTGCTTTGTAATTTTTATTTTAATATAATTTTGGACTTACCATAAAACTTATTAAAAGGACAAAGAACTTCCATATACCCCTCACCCAGATTCTATAATTATTCACATTTTACCATATTATATGGTTTATGCATATTTTTTGTGAACCACCACAATGCAATTATCAAAATCAGGTTATAATACTTCTCTCTAATAATCAGACCTTACTCATCCTTTTGCACACATTTTTTTGTCTTGTTCCCCTATATTTTTTACATATAACCTCCAAAAAGGTTTATAGGTGAAAGTTATAGATAAAGCATAAAGTGAATAGTAAAATGAGAAGCCTTAATTCAACTGTTATAAATTATATTAAATGTTAGTGACTAAGCATTCTATTTAAAAGGAAGAGATTACCAGAATGGATTAAGAGGCAAATCTTAGCCATCTGCCATCTATAAGATGTTTGTTAAATTAAAGGATACATTTAAATGTCTTCTGGCCTCCATTTGCTTCTGATAAGCAATTAGAGGCCATTCAGATCTTTGCTTGCCTTTATGTTTCCTTATATGTCATTTGTCATTTTTGCTGTCTGCTTTAAAGAATTTCTCTTTATTTTTGGTTTTCCATAATTTGTGATATGACTAGACACGATTTTCATCTGATTTTTCCTGCTCAGCACTTTCTGACCTTTAGAAATCTGTAAGTATATGTCTTTCACAAAATTTGGGAAGTTTGGGACCATTATTTCTCCAAATAATTTTATTTTACTCTGTTTCTCTTGGTTTCCAATTAAATATGTCACACCTTTTGATATTATACACAGCTCACCAAACCTCTGTCCTCTTTTTCCATTATTTTTTCTCTGACCTTCAGGTTGATAAGTTCTGTTGATCTATCTCCCATGTTCCCTGATTCCTTCTTCTGTCACATCCACCCTTCTGTTAAAATCATCTCGTGATTTATTTCAGATATTATATTTTTAAGTTCTCAAATTTTATTTTTTCCTTATAATTTCTGTTTCTGATGAGATTTCCTATTTGCTTACTTATTACAGATGCATTTTCCTTTATGTCTTTAAGCACAGTTATAATAGCTACTTTGAAATTTTGTCTGCTGATTCGAATATCTGGAGTATCTTGAGGTTAATTCTCATTAATTTTCCCATTTATTTTTATTATGACTCGTTTTCTTATTTCTTAAATGTCTAGTAATCTTGTGGTTGTATCCTAGACATTTGAGAAATACAGTGCAGAGATTCCTGATTCTATTATGTGCCTCTGACAAGCATTAGAGGGTTTTTTGTTTCTTTAACAGGTAGTTCCTTTGGCTGTGTTCATATTCCAAACATTTTCTCTCCTTTCATGGGGAGCAACTAAAATCTCATATAGTTCTTTAGCCTTTGCTGAAAGGATTGAATCTGCCTCACACATGCATAGTTCAGAGATCAACCAGTGATTTAGGGAGAGTGTGCTGAATTTGTTGCTTTTTCTCTGTTGATCTCTCCTTTTCAGAGCCCTCTCCCTTTACTTTTACCTGCTAAAGTATCCCTGAACTCTGTCTTCTGGGACTGAAAGTGGGATTTTAAATAAACTGTAGATGGCTTCCTTTATTTGGTTATTATTATTTAAAATTTGAAGGAAGCGTTGGTCATTTTTGGTGACTAGTCATTTTTGATGACTAATTTAAGTGTCATTTAAAGTTTCATTTCCTTTAAATTAACATTTTTTGTCATTCTATTCAAATGCCTACTTACAATGGCAATAAGAATATGCTATGAACACTTAACCTCCCACACTAGAATTTTAAATCTGAGTTCTTTTCGAATGCTGTTTTGGTGAATTTCAGTGTGGGAGGTGAGATGATTTAAAGCTTTAGATTTTCTGTTATAGTCAAAGGCATAATTTATCTGACATCTTTTTTCATCCTGCATAAGGAATAACACTAGAATAATGTTTTTAAATAACACATGTCCACATAATGACATTTTTTTCTTTTCAATTCTATCCAAACTAAAATAGCTCCGAAGTGTTTACTTATCATAACTGTTAAGAAATTATACTTGCCAGGCGTGGTGGCTCATGCCTGTAATTTCAGCACTTCGGGAGGTCGAGATGGGTGACCTCCATTTGAGGTCAGGAGTTTGAGACCAGCCTGGCCAGCATGGTAAAACCCCATATCTACTAAAAATACAAAAAAGTAGCTGGATGTGGTGGTGGGTGCCTGTAATCCCAGCTACTAGGGAGGCTGAGCCAGGAGAATCACTTGAACCTGGGAGGTGGAGGTTGAAGTGAACCAAGATCACACCATTCCTCTCCAGCCTGGGCAACAAGAGTGAAACTTGAAAGAAAAGAAAAGAAAAGAAGGAAGGAGCGAGAGAAAGAAAAGAAAGGAAGGAAGGAAGGAAAAGGAAAGGAAAGGAAGAGGAGGAGGAAGGGGAGGAAGGGGAAAAAGAAGAAAAGAAGAGAAGATAAATTATACTTATTACACCTGCCATCACTTCTCTTCTACATCACGCTGGGAATTAAAAAGAATGCATCATTTTATTGCTTCAGAAAATCTCCTGCATTCTTGTCTTTGTGTTTTATCAATTTATTAGGGCTTTGGACAGCTGAGCAAAGTATAGAACATATCCAACCCAACCTCTGCCTTACAAGAACTTACTTCTTAAAGAAGAAAGTTTTCTCAACATAGTAAAGAGGAAGATGAGCTTTCCTACTTGTTAAGTGCTCTGCAATACAGAATGTAGATGTTACAATGTCAGTGGAAGAGCAGAAGGAATATGTGCTACTGTTAGGACTTGGTTTAAGTTTTTCTGCGTTATGAAAGGCAGTAGTATTACAGATTGTTAACATAGTTATGCTAGATCTAACCATTGTACATTAAGATAGAAACAAGTATTTTATTTTGTCTTGTATAATCAAGACCTCAAATCATGATTTTTTAGCCATTACATGTACAATTAATATTCAAACTTGATGTGAAAAATAACATTAAAAATAACAGATAACACTGAATTCATTTAAAAGTAGACATTTAAAATAGTATAGTACACTTTTTTTTTTTTCTTTTTTTAAGAGACAGGATCTCCCTGTGTTGCCCAGGCTGGTCTCAAAACTCCTGGGATCCTCCTGCCTCTGCTTCCCAAAGTGCTAGGATTACAGGCATGATCCACCACGCCCAGCCATTAAAATAGTATAGTATACTATCTACTAAACTAGATTGTGTTTAAAAGTTATTTGGCCCTCTCATGAAACAGTGAGTTTGGGGATTTGTTTTTAAGTGAAGACAGATATCTGTGGAAGTGAGAAGCCAGATAAAATAGCATTTGTTTTCTCTGGTGAGCTTTCGCCTTACTCTGCTTCTTCTAAGAGCTTTGTTGAGCATGCCTTAAGGGTCAGGTGCTGGGCTTCGTAATCTCCTCAGCTTAACTTCTTGTCACCTGCAGGAATGGCAGAGGAGTGTCATGTAACTCCGTCTTCTGATTGCTCAAGAGGAATCGTGTTTGTGTGTGTGTGTGTGTGTGTGTGTGTGTGTGTGTGTGTGTGTGTGAAATATTCCAGTTTGGGAATGTTGGCTTCCCATTCAAAAGTGCTTAGGACATCATGAAAGTCACATCAGCGGGGGTGAGGGAGCCAGTGCAGGGGTCCTGGGCTTCTGGTTTGTGGCCTCTGAATGAAGGTGTGGCCCCTGGTAAGATACAAGCACTGCTGGGAAGCCTAACACATTGAACAGTTATTAGCTATTGACACCTCTGCATGGCTTGTTTTCTGTGCTTCTCCCCAGCACTAGCTGCTCCAAGAAGTTTTCAAACTAGGAACACTGTGAAGTGGAGAGCATAAAGACAAGAGAAGTCCAGGAAGGGTATAGCACACCTGGTAGGGAAGACCCCAAAAATCGCAGCTGCAGAGTCAAGAGGAAGATGTTAGCAATCATACTGATCACCTAATGTGTGCAGCACACCCCACTGGATGCCTGAAATGCAGAGATTAGTAGGACATGGTCTCTGATATTATAGAGCTTGAAGTTTAATAGGAGGAAGAGAGATGCACAGAAATCATGAGTGTGCATTGCAGCATGAGAATGGATGATATAAATGTTGAAATCATTCATTTCAGCATTTAAAATGTTTCCTGATGACATGCAGTATGCCTAGAACTTTCAGTACACCACCATAGACAAAACAGACATAATCTCTGCCTGTAAAGATGTTACAGTCTAGCAGGAGAGCTGGCAGTTTTTAAATTGTAGAAATACGATCATGCATCACTTAATAGGGATACTGAGAAATGTGTCCCTGGACATCTTCAACCACCCTAGAGTGTACCCACACAAGCCTAGATGGCATAGCCTACTACACGCCTAGGCGGTATGATGTGGCCTATTGTTCCTAGGCTGTAAACTTGTGCAGTGTGTTACTGTACTGAATGTTATAGGCAGTTACAACACAGTAGTAAGTATCTATGTATGTAAACACAGAAAAAGGTACAGTAACAATATGGTATTGTAATCTTATGGGACCACTGTCATATATGTTTGTTTTTGGCCAAATTGTCAGTATGTGGTACATGACTATGTATTTAACAACAATGATAATAAATGCTACAAAGAACTATGGAGACTATGGTAGTGTAATAGGGACACCTCACTTACTCATGAGGAATAAGAAAAAGCTCCCCTGAAAAATTACAACTAAACCAAGATTTGAAGAACGATGTGGAGGGAGGGGTATTAGCGAGACCAAGGGGGTTGTAAGGGTGTTGCCGGAGGAGGAAGAGACTGAGAAGCTCTGAGGCAGGGAAGCTCTTGGATGTTTGCGAAACTGGGAGAATTTGAAGGATGGGGTTGTCAGGGCGTAGCTAGTGACAGCAGAGCGAGCCAGAAGAGGAAGCAGACAGCAAGTTGTGCAGGACTTGTAGACCTTCTTGGGATGTCTAACTTCATCCTCAGACCATGTCGCCAGTTGAGAGCTTTAAGCAGGGTGAGAGGGACAAGCCGGCTGCAGCATGGCACATCCAGTGAGAGGGGCTGTCGTGTAAGCAGAGACTGGTTAGGGGCTTCTGCAATAACCCAGCAAAACTTAAGAGTGTTGGCTTATGAGCTATGCGAGGTGACAGTAGAACTAGAAGGAAGTGGTGGCTTTTGAGAAAGAGGCTGGACTGGCCTTGATACTGAATTGGATTGGAAAGAGAGGGAAGTGTGGAAGACGGTGCAGGGCTCTGCTATCAACTAGCCGATGGTCCACTTACCAAGGTAGGTAAGTGGGAAACAGGCTCGGGGAAGGGATGGAAGTTTTCGTACTAGGTGAGTAGTTTCAGATGTGAAATGGGCAGGAAGATGGATGGGCCTCGTTCTCAGAGGAGGGGGCTGGGCTGGGAGTCATGGGCATCTGGCGAGTACAAAGGCCAAGGAGTCCCCAGCATGAGTGTGAACAGTGGGAAGTGGCCAGGAACAAGCCCTCAGGAGAGCCCTCGCTCGCTCCGTTCTCCCAGCAGCAAGTAAGTGCAAAGCACAGTGTCACTGGCCAGGGCTCTCATGCTGTCTGGCGCACAATCACCAAAGTTTCCAGGCCAGTACCTTTTATTTTTATTAATACAACAGAAAGCCAGAAACATTCCCAGCTTCATTGTTTTCCAGAAGAGCACCTACCAAACCCAAATGATATTCCTAACCCCTAAACCTCATCACAATAGTTACGCTTTAATACACTACATCTACTAACAAAGCCAGATACATTGCCCTCCTCCAATACAATAAAGTCCCCCACGAAGGGCATGTCACAATGGACCCCCAACTATACTGGGTGATCATTTTTGTCCATGTGCATATATTTCGTCATTAAAATGTTAAAAAACAAATATTTCGATTTCTCTCTGCCTTAACTTTTTTGCCTCCGTATAACTGGTTAATATGTCTGAATAATTAACAACTGAGTAGCTTTCTCTTATCCCTTTGAGTATAAGGAACTTGGAATATACTCCTTTCTGACTCCCACATCAGGGTAGGTTAACCACAGGGCTCAGAATTGAGTGGAAAACCAGGAGGGAAGAGCTGGGGAGACCCATGCTGACCCTGGGTGACAGAAAAACATGGACTCTGAACTCTGGCAATCCAGGGTTGGAATATCCTAGATTTTACAACCTCCACAACTATTCATTCTCCTCCCCTTCTCTCCTGGCAGCAACGTAATAATTAACCGAGACACTGCTGGTCTCAGAAAGATTCAGCAGGAACGAAGATCAGCAAATACATCTTGTTGTTCGGTGACTTCTTAAATCTGATGGTACATTAGTCAGAAATGCTTACAGTGTATTTTATAATAAACTTTTGTTAATGGACTAACATGACGACTCTAAATCTCCCGCACTGTTAGTCCTTAGCTGCAATGCCAAATACATCAGGTAGGTTCAACAGAATCGAGAAACACCACGAAACCCTGCATAATTAGATGAGCACAAACTATGCTTAATAGCACAAAATACCAAACACCTGCCACCGTTCTGTAACGAGGACTTGATATTCTATAGAACTGGAGATGTGGTGGCTTGAAGCCTCCTGCTTCCAAAGCAAACACTAACTGGAATCCTTCACAAATACCCAAAACTAGGTTGAGCCCTCAGTTGGGTCCACTTCTGTGACTAGAATCAAGGTGAACGGAATCACTGACTGCCTGCTCCAGTCCTTTTAAAGGTGGAACAGCACGTTTTTAAACTGACATCTCAAGAACAAACAGAGTGATGGAAAAAAGTTGGACACAAATGTGTTTTGCTTTGTTTTTATTTGGAGTCATAATAGAAAAAATGTTAATAAGCCCCTAAATTATTCTCCATTAATGTGATTTAAATTGTAAACTCATATTTATTTGTTTATATACACTCAACTGTAGAAAAATGACTTTTTTTGTTGTTGTTGTTTATACCATCAAATCCAATCAAGCCAAACAAGATGGTTAACTAAAATGATTAATGAATGCAGCATTAGCTGATGGCTTTAAATTTAGCATGTGTTACTGATGTCAGGGTTGATTAGTTCTCTATCTAAAACTGATGCTATTAAAAGCTTTGAGCAATTTAGATGTTGTCATTGAGTAAAATTTCAATGCGGTGAGAGAAATTCTATCAGGATTCTGCTATGGTGCAGCATGTGCACAGATGTTGGATAGAGAGAGAGTGGGCCTTTTCTGATGGGACAGGAAGAAGGAACGGGAGGCAGAGAAGCTGACAAGGTGTCATCAATCTCAGGAAAGGTAAAGAAGCTTGGAATAAAAAAAAAAAAAATACTCATCTTTGCACAAGGACTCCCAAATGGCATACGGGTATGAATATTGATCATTTCAGCTTCAGAACTTTTCAAGAAGTGGGAAAAAATAAATGAAGGGAAGGGAAGAGGTTAATATAGTACCATGCTTTAGTAACTCCTCTGAAAATGAATCCATGGGGAAATCATTGTAGTCAGTGGTGGAGACCAACATTTTTATTAATAAGATAAAAGGAAAGAGTGGTAAAGCAAAGGCGACCTTTGGATGGAATGATTATGTGTCATGAGCACTTGAGGACCTAGAAAGCAAACCGGAGTGATTATGCCAATCAAATTGCAAGGTCGGAGACATGCTAAAAGGTTAGAAGGAATCCAATCCTGGGGCTATTGCACGGAACTTGGGGAAATCAAGTTGCTGCAAGTAGCTGTGACTTGAGGAAGGTGTGCAGTGGGGGACCTTAAACCATTTCCAACATCTGTGCCTTTGAAATATTTTATTATTGATCCAGATATCCCAAGACATTTTAAATGGAAGGGAAAATGTACTATACTAGACCCAAATTCTCTGGATATTTAGATTCCATCCCTGTCTAGGGATGTGGGGGAGGTGAATCTGTCAGTGGATCAGATCAGACTAGAAGGTTCTTGTGATGCAGCTGGGCCATCTCTAAGAAAAAGGCAGCAAATAATTTGGTTCCCTCTATGTAGTTCCACCTAAGAAGAGGAAAAACAGAGAAATGTTGTTACAATTTCCATTCAAATGAAGGAGGAAAAATATTCTGTCATTTAGACAGGAAGATTTGATGTTATAAATTCCACCTAAATTATTTAACATACTGTTGAGATCCCAGTATGAAAGGCACTTAGTAAGTTCCATGTGAAAAATGCATTATTATTATTAAGAAGATGAGAATCAGTCCTAGACTCAAATCTAAAAGTCAGTTTTCCTTGATTTCTTATCACCAACATGACATGGATATCAGGGTCAAACAATTTCCTGTTTCTCACTAGTCTGGGAGGCTTAGGAGATCTTGTAGTATCTGCCAGTAGTGCATAAAGCAAACATTCCTAAATAGCCTTTTTTGTTATGCACTTCACATTTGTGTTTCCTCAAAGTTCCGTGTTGAAGCCCTAACCCCTCAGTGTGTCTGTATTTGGAGACAGGGCCTGCAGGAGATGATAAAGGTTAAATGAGGTCAAAATGGGGGTCCTAATCCAGTGGGGCTGGTGCCTCTATAAAAAAAGAACAAGACACCAGAGCCACCTAACCCCACCATGTGAGCACAGGGACAGCCAGGAAGACAGCCGGCACCCACCAGGAACCAAATGGGCTGGCACCCGATCTAGGGCATCCAGGCTTCAGAACTGTGAGGAATCAATGTCTGTTGTTTAAGCCCCCAGTCTGTACGATTTTCCATTCTCGCATAAATTGAACAGGAGGTCACCCATGTGTAGACCCGTGTGTGTGCAGTAAAGGAAGAAGAGAGAGGCACATTGCACAGGCATCAGCTGACCTGTTGATTTTCTCATTCTGTGAGTGTTCTCCATCATCAACAGCTCCCAGCGGAATTAGCACCACGCTCTTGTGGACAATCTCCTGGAACATTTTGGCAATTGGAATGGTGGATCCATCCCGGATCATATCTGGTTCTGTTCCAAACACTGAAACAGGAAAAGAAGGCATTTGAATAGGATAAGGACAAGACCGCCCCCAGTAAGCTCCTCAAGGGCAGTGCCTACTTTACCTTCCTCTTTCTTTTTCCTTGTTAATCTTTCTTTTTTTTTACCATTAGATTTGGTGCCTGGAGTAAGGAAACCCCTTGATATCATGCAATTATATTCTAAGATAGACGCTAGAGTCAAGAAGAAAACTATGGATGTCTTCTTCACAATTACCTACGTCAAAAAAGATTTTAGAGCCAGGTGTGGTGGCTCACGCCTGTAATCCCAGCACTTTGGGAATCTGAGGTGTGCGGATCACTTGAGGTCAGGAGTTTGAGACCAGCCTGGCCAACATGGTGAAACCCTGTCTCTACTAAAAATACAAAAATTAGTCAGGCATGGTGGCACATGCCTGTAATCCCAGCTACTCGGGAGGCTGAGGCAGGAGAATCGCTTGAACGTGGAAGATGGAGGTTGCAATGAGCCGAGATCTTGCAACTGCACTCAGGCCCGGGTGACAGAGCGAGACTCTGTCTCTAAATAAATAAATAAATAAAATTGTAAATAAAAATTTTATTTTGAACTAATTTTAGAAAAGTTTAGCCTTTAGAAAAGTTGCAAAAATAGTACGGAGAAAGCTCCCATCTATCTCTTACTCTGCTTTCCCTAATGTAAACGTCTTATGCAACTATTGCAAAATGATCAAAACAAGGAAACTGACAATGGTTCAACATTGTTAACTCCACTCCAGACTTTCGATTTCACCAGTCTCTCCCTTTTTCCATTCCAGGATCTGATCCAGAATCCACACTGCTTTTTTATTATTGCTTCTTAGTTTCTTGTATGCTGTGGATGTTTCTCACTATTTCCTTGTCTTTCATGACCTTGACCATCTTGAACCTTATCAGTTGGTAGTTTTGTAAAATATCCCTCATTCTGGGTTTGTCTGATGTTGTCTTGTGATTTCAAGAGGTCATGCATGTTTGGAACAACACAAGACAATGTCCCTACCTTTATTGTTTCTTCATGAATTAAATATTTTTTTGGTGACTTCTTTGGATTTTTTGGTGACAGATATGCCAATAGCTGTACTATCACTCAAATGTCACAATGTTTCTGGCAATTTTCAAAGTATTGCACAAAATAGTTTTAACTGCTATCCTAGGTTTTAGAGATTATTTCAAACCTTCTAGCTTAGAGGACAGGCTACCAGTGATGCAGTGGGATGAAAAATGAAACAAAGAAACCAGAGAGAACATGTCACCTCTTTGCTCACACAGCAAGATGTGGATGTGAATCGAAGTAATGTACCTTGTTAGTAGAACCAGTTTAGCACACAAACAGACCGTAAGGTGTCTTATGCATTCCTGAAAGGCTATTTCAGATTTATTTACTGTTGTCAACTGGGGTATTTCAAACACACACCTCTCTTCAGCTGCCATTACATTTCTTCAATCCTAAAGTTTACTGGCAAAATACCTGCTAAGGTTGGGGGCAGCAGGAATGGTGATGGAAAGAAGCATGGCTCCCTGTCTTAGACTTGTTCTCTAGTTTTCCATATCTATGTCCCTTGTACTGATAAGCCCAAGAGAGAGAGTTAGTGCTTCAAGGAGATCTCGGCTTCCCTTTCTGGCTTTGCCACCATTAGCCAATGTGGCCTCAGGTATCATCTGTAATAGGATGCCATAGGTCTACCAAAATGCATGCCACTGCTTTTCCACCTAGCTTTTGGAGAGACCTAGAACTCCCTGCTTTGGGAAGAGCCCCTGTTCTGCTATTGTTGGCAGGGTCCCCCTCCTGGTGCAGAAGCCAAAGAGACTGGGTGTCCCTGCTCCCTGATGCACAACCAGCACCCAAGTACACGCTCTCTGCTCAGCCCAGCACATGGCTCTACCCAGGACCTTGAAATGCATGGAATTAAAACAGGCACCACCAAAGAAGTTCGAAATAGAGCTGTGCTGCCTTCTGGGGAAGCGATGTGGCATTGTGAAGAGACCACCGGCTTTAGGGTCAGACACACTGGAATTGGGTTTCTCGTGTGTTTTGCAATTGTATACAGCGAGCTCATCTCCAGGAAGCTCCTGTGGAATCTCCTTGGCCTGCCTGGGGCTGTGTCCTCCTGGGTAATGCCGTGCTTGCATCAGCAGGCAGTCCAGCCATGGCACTAGCGAGAATCAGACCATGCACTAGCTAAAAATTAAACACCCAAACCCACAGGAGCAAGGGTCCATGGTTAAAAATTCTCAGGGGAGACCTTGTGTCCATCCAACGTCCACGCAAAGGCAGTCAAGCTTACACACGCAGGATAGGTGTGGCTTTCCGGGGATGCCCTGCCTGCGTATAGTGGGTCTCCTTTTCAACTTCCTGCCTCACTCAGGCCCAAGGCCATTAAAGTTCCAGTCTCTGTGACCAGGAAGAGCAGATCCCTGCAGGCCAGCCCAGGGTCTGCTTATTCACTCCCCTAGAGTTTAGCTTCTTCATTTTCAATCCTAAAGGATTCCCTCTGATGTCGTACAAGCTAAGCTGTGTTTTTTTGTTTTTCATTTTTGAGACAGGGTCTCACTCTGTCCCCTAGGCTGGAGTGCAGTGGCATGATCACAGTTTGCTGCAGCCTCAACCTCCTGGGCTCAAGCCATCCTTCTGCATCAGCCTCCTGAGTAGCTGGCACTACAGGCGCATGCCACCACGCCCAGCTAATTTTTATATTTTTTGTAGAGATGAGGGGTCTCACCATATTGCCCAGGCTGGTCTCGAACTCCTGAGCTCAAGAGATCCTCCTGCCTCTGCCTCCCAAACTGCTGGGATTATAAGATTGAGCCATCACATCTGGCCTAATCTGTGTTTTGAAAGGATGTTTTTACATGTTGGCCAACATTTCTATGAGTTTTGTATCAGGGGGTTTGAAGGTTTTCTAGTGCATCATTTTCCCCAAAATTCAGGTCTCCAGACTTCAATTTGAGCACAGGTTTTGCCACTTGTGAGCTGGGCACCCTTTGGCAAAATACTTCATGTCTGTAAACCTGCATTTATTCCTCTGTTAGATGGGGAAGGCCACTGGGAGGATGACTTGAGATGGCATGTATAGCGTGCCCTGCACATGACATGCATTCAACAATGTCCTCTATATTAAAAGGAGAGTTGATTTCTGAGTTTTAAAAGTGTCTGCTTTACCCACGGTCCCACAGGTACCACCCCTGAGTCCCAGTGAAGATTGGCCAGTCAGAAGATCTTAAGGTCCCACCTGTTCTGATGGCTCTTTTTGCTGCGAGATACTGGGTGTCGTTAATATTTGCGATCCATGGGTGTAGTCCTAGAGTCATGGAAACAACCATCTTGTTGGAACTATTTCTTTTGGAGAACACATCTTCAAGATGCTGTGTCACCTAAAAGGTGATGTTTTCAATAATAAGAGAAAGTGTCAAGTTATTCTCTCATACAGTTAATATAGTCTTCCATCAAGAAACTGATTAATACAGTTAATATAGTCTCTTCCATCAGGAAACCGAAGGCCCTAACCTGACACATGCAAGTGTTGTGATTTTTCCTTCGCTCTGCCAGGGGGCGAGAGTGAGATCCTTCTTCAGTGCTGAGAGCAGGAAACCCTGGGCTGCACCCAGAGGGAGATTCCCCTCTATCCTCCTCCCCGCAATCCTGGCCCCAGCCCACCCCCTTCCAACCACAGCGTCTCACACACGGAGGTGCTGGAGCATTGCCTGTTGAAAGTGATGAAACCTAACACAGCAGGACTTCTCTTTTGAATCGTCCTCTTTTAGGACTCCTCAGTACCCTCTGAGTGATTTGGGGGTATTAAGCATTTGGAAATTTCCAAGACGTGGGAGCAACTCCAGGCTCAACTATGGAGGAGGCTCATTTCAGCCTCGTTCTCGCCCCTCCTGCTCTTTTCTCGTTGTTACTGTGGCGAGCCTCCTGGGAAGGTGCCATACTCAAACTTCTTCCATTAATTACCTCAACACACATTTACAGAACACGTGTCATGTCCCAGAGACTGTTCTAGGTGCTGTGGATACAGCTGTGAACAAGACAAGGAAGGCCCTGCCCTCATGGAGTTTATATGTCATGAGCAAAAGGGGTAGCACCTCCAAAAAGAAGGAAGGGAAAGGAGGAAGGAGGGAAAGAGAAAAGGAAAGGGAAGGGAAGGGGAGGGGATGGAGAGGGAAGGGGATTGGGGAAAGGAGAAGGAAGGATGGAAGGAGGGCAGGAGGAAGGAACAGGAGGGAAGAAAAAGGAAAGGGGAGGAGAGGGAAGGGAAGGGAAGGGAAAAGGGAGGAAGGAGAGAGGGCAGGAGAGAGGCAGGGAAGGAAGGAAGGAGGGAGGGAGGGAAAGGAGGAGGGGAAGAGGCAGGGAGGGAGAAAGAGAGACTATATTAGAATGTAATTAGTGCTAACAAGACAATAAAGAGGGATAATGGAATGGAGAAAGACTGACGGTTGGGATGAAGTATTTCTTTAGTTCATTCATTCAAGAGTCTACTTTCTGTTAAACTAACTTGAGGCAAATTGATGATTGGTTGGTAATTTGGACACGTAACTCCTTCCAGAAAACATTTTCCTTAAAATGGCTGCTTCCAAAGTGTTAATTTCAGACATCATGAAGATCTAATGATTGAAGCCTGAGACTTTCTACTTCTGTCCAAGCATAGGCAGGTCCCTACTCCATCTATGTGTAAACCAATCTTGCTTTTATATCTACCATCTAATTTTCAAATTTTCCTAGCACTATCTAACTTGCTTTTATATCTACCATCTAACTTTCAAATTTTCCTAGCTTCAAATGGTTATTTACCTGACTGCTGTAGTTCCATATACTTGAGGAAAAAGATTGGGTTCTTTTTGTTTGTTTTTTTAAGAGACAGCGTCTCGCTCTGTCACCCAGGCTGGAGTGCAGTGTTGCAATCATAGCTCACTGCAGCCTTGAATTCCTGGGCTCAAGGGATCCTCTAGCCTTGGCCTCTCAAATCCCTTGGCCAGGATTATAGGCACAAGTCACTGCACTGGGCAATACTGGTTTCTTGATGTTTGTTCCACACCTCTTGTATTAGAAAAAAATGATACTCCAATGGCAGCAACCTCACTGCTCACCAAGCAGTGATATGCGGGATTAAGAAACCATGTTACTAGGCAGAATGACAATAAGCATTTGTTACCTGTTTTTCCACCACAGACACATTCATGTGAGGGACTAGACGGATGGAAAATTTTCCTATAACTTGGCCAGGTATGACTGTTTTAGCTCCAGGCTCATCAAACGCACCCTCGATCCCATGAATAGAAAGAGATGGGTACCTCCAGAGGTGCATTAGAATCTCCTCCTATATTAAAATAAAATTATCCAAAGGATGCTTAATTAGACCCCAGTGGAGCTGGGTTGCTTGTGTTACCACTGTCTGTCTCTCTGAGACACCATTCAGGACACGTTAACTGTCACCTTACTCAGCTGTGTCTGACGCAAGGACTTTTCCCTCAGGACACAAACTCTCTGCTGTCTTCAGATGCCTTCACCTACCCAAGATGCTCCCCACTGATGAGTGCCCCTCTTTGCCCAACATTTGCAGTTTTCAGTGAACAAATGGCAAAGGGGTCCTTTCAGATGAGATCGGGCACGTTCAGGATGGAATGGCCATAGACAAACGGGCCCCTTCAGAAATGTGGGTTCAATTATAAATTTCTAACCTCAATCATTACAATAATAACTTATGTAATGAAAGCATTTTCTTATTCAGAAGACATCAAAGAACTCTCCACATATTTGAGCCAGTTTTCTTTCTTCTTCTGGCCATCCTTGAGCTGGTCTGCAGGAAGACGCCTGCTTCATAATAATTCACTCTACTGCTTCTTTTCAGCTTGCTTTTCCCCCTCGTGGCCCCTTCCCCAGGAACCAGCCCTGCTACCGAACACCTTGTCAGGCAAGCATGCTGCCCAGAAAGAGAAGGAGGAGAAAAGCAAAACAATTCTAAATTTGCCAGTAAAGAATGTTTTCGGCTTTGTGTTTACTTAGTCCACTGAGGCAGTGATGTATTCACTTACAGATTAGACCCTAAGGCTTTTGGTTTTGTCTGGAAAAATGAACAGTTACAGGTCTTGGAGCTGGAATCATCTCAGACTTTTCTTGGTCTTTGAAAAGATAAGAAGTCCAGCTCACAGGCTGAAGGCTGGCATGGGATTTAGGTTAATAAACAGCTTTGGAAAACATGGCTGGGAAATGGGTAACTGCTTGTAGTTAAATACCAGAAGCCAGTGCCCATTAGACCCCAGTAAAAAGGACTGGTTGACCCAGCCCACAGGGAAGTGGCTGTGGACATCAAAAATCTGCCTAGGAATTCACATCTGCTTTGGATTCTAAGATATGCAGATTAGCACCAGACAATGATTTAGACAGCGGGCAAATATGATCTACTAGCCTCATGCCTCTTCCAGCTTATCCATCAGTCTGTGGTCATACCTTAGTATCGAACAGAAATTTCTCAACCCGGCTGCTATTCCGGTATTCTTCCAGGTCTAGATGGATGGCTTTGTATGTATTTATTTCCTCTTCTGTAAGAGGAGCCACTTCATCATAGATTCCAGGGACCAGGATATGACCCGACGAGTCTACCAGGCTACCTACAAAACACACATAGCAAACAAAGCCAGGTAGAAAGGAGTGTGCCCATGTTGTGGTCCTGGAGCCGCAGACTGTGGGAGGACTCTTCAGGGCTGCAGCAGGCCTTGTGACTCTCTGGGTCCCCATGGCCAAAGCCATTGGCAGCAACTCCATCCAAGAAGTGACTGTCAGAGAAAGGAGCTGGTCACCAGGTTCACGCAGCTGGAATCAGCCCTGCTTTAGTGTTCACCTTGTCAAAGGTGACGCTGAAAACACCTGGGTCCACAACCAGTGAGTTCGGAGCGAGTTACCTCCATCACGTTCACGTTCTCAGCTATGCCTTTTATACATAAACAAGGTTTGTTTTTTAGTTTTACCTTATGCTGATTTAAAAAGTAATACGTGTTCACTATAAAACATTTAAAATACATGCTGGGTGCGGTGGCTCACATCTGTACTCCCAGCAATTTGAAAGGTCAAAGCAAGTGGATTGCTTGAGCCGAGGAGTTCCCAACCAGCCTGGGCAACATGGCGAGACCCCATTTCTACAAAAAATACAAAAACTAGTGGGGCATGGTAGCACATGCCTGTGGTCCCAGCTACTTGGGAAGCTAAGGTGGGAGGATCACTAGAGCCCAGGAATTTGAAGGTGCAGTGAGTAATGATCACATCACTGCACTCCAGCCTGGGTGATAAAGTCAGACCCTGTCTCAAAAAAGAAATTATATGGCCGGGAGCGGTGGCTCACATCTGTAATCCCAGCACTTTGGGAGCCTGAGGCAGGCAGATCACAAGGTCAGGAGACCAAAACCATTCTGGCTAACATGGTGAAACCCTGTTTCTACTAAAAATACAAAAAATTAGCAGGGCATTGTGGCACTCACCTGTAGTCCCAGCTACTGGGGAGGCTGAGGCAGGAGAATCCCTTGAACCCAGGAGGTGGAGGTTGCAGTGAGCCCAGATCACGCCACTGCACTCCCGCCTGGGTGACAGAGTGAGACGCCATCTCAAAAAAAATTTATATGTGTGTGTATATATATGTATATATATGTGTGTGTGTGTGTGTATATATGTATATATATGTATGTGTGTATATATATACACACACACACACACGTACATGTATACACACCTACGTACATACATACCTGAGAAACCAAAAATTGTTGTCATCTCTTCCCAACTTCTCTTCCCCTACACACACACACACAATATTATAATAAACACTCATTTTTAATTAAAAGCATTATACCCTTCAGGTCTACTCTATGAGATACCATCATGACCACAAAATCCTCTATATATACTAGTATGCTCTTTGTGAAACAGTTTAGGGATCAATACAAGTGGAAAAAACCATCACTAAATACCCAGAAGAGCAGCAGATGTTGAAGTTCAGTAAATGCTGCCCACTCTCTGGAGAAAGTGCTTATCAAAGGCAAAATGCAGCCAGAAAGTAGACCGATATAAATGACACAAAAATGTCTCCAGGGCAGCTCAATGAGTCCCCACTGATAATGCAATCATGAGATCTTCTCTTGAGGGTATGTCCGTAAACTTCTGCTGACAGTCTTCTGTGTAAGGACAGAGTTGCAGAGTCGTGCTTTCTAAGCACACACTGCACGTCACTAGTAAAACAATCCAAGCCTCTGTTCTTGGCATCATTTTAAATTACAACTTTATTCTCTTAGCATACAAGCAGCCTTCCCTTCTGCTGGACTGGGAGAAGGAAGAGTAAGAGGATTTCCTCATTTACTTTTTCTTTCCTTCCTTCCTTCCTTCTCTTTCTTTCCTTCTTTCTTTCCTTTCTTTCTTCCTTCCTTCCTTGTGTAAACACAAGCATCCTCTTAGCAGTTCCTTCCTTCCTTTCTCTTTCTTTTCCTTCTTTTTCTTTTCTTTCTTTCTTCTTCCTTCCTTCTTCTTTCCTTTCCTTTTCCTTCCTTCCTTCTTTCCTTCCTTTCCTTTTCCTTCCTTCCTTCTTTCCTTCCTTTGTTCTTTCCCTCCCTCCCTCCCTCCCTCCCTCCCTCCCTCCCTTTCCTTCCCTTCCTTTCCTTTCTCTCTTTCTTTCTTTCCTTTTTTTGAGACAGAGCTTGCTCTGCCACCCAGGCTGGAGTGCAGTGGCATGATCATGGCCGCTGTACCTGGCCTTCCTTTCCCTTTTAATTTGCTTGCAGAGAAATCTGATTAGAGAGCTGTGGAGTGCGGCTCAGTCACTTCGGCCCTGCCTGAAACACCATCACAGGGAAAGGGGAGCCATTGATATCTGTGCTACTCAGAAATAATGCTGCTTCACAGATCCCACTTTCCATATTTCTTTGCCCTAGTTCTTTAATATTGAAAGCATTTGAATGAAAATATTATGCTTAAGAGCGTGTTCCCTCCCATCCTGTTCATTTTCCTCTTGCAATCATGACGTGATGTCATTTCTGCAGTTACCACAGCCGTCTGGGCAAGTGCAGGGAAGGCAGAAAGTGCCTTTGAAAACTGCCCACAGGAAACAGAATCCTGCGTGCCCAGCAGCCATCTTGGATTTGAACATTTTAAATAACATCATTTGGTGCTTATAAAAATGCCCTTGGTGCAATGGCCTTTTCTGTTTTATAGCTTTTAGGGAAATGCAAAGAGTAGGAAAGTGTCTGCAAAGGGAAACCACAGAAGGTTAGAGTTCCATTTGTAAATACAAGTATCCTCTTAGCAGCTTCTGCGTCCCCTGCACACTAAGCCCCTTTTCAGACAGGGAACTAACTTGGTTTTGCTTTGTACCCTAGTGGAGGTCATCACGCACTAGTGTTTATTGTCTGTTCATGATCACAGCACAGACAGAGAGGTTAGGAGGCTTGCATGAGGCAAGGGCTGCCCATGGATTCCCACATCCTGACTAGTGTATATGGCTGATTGTCGGCCTGCAGGAGTGGACAGAGCAGAGCCGACTCTCACTTGACATCAGGGGGCCCTGGGAGTCCAGGCATCTCCACTACAGCCCAGCCTGTCAGCAAGCAAAATTCCTGCTTGTCATCTGATAAACACTAAAGCTCAACACTATGTCCTTATGTTTTTGTGCAAAATATATGAAAACCACATAGAGGACACAATCCAGAAATTACTGTGCTGTGGATTGGTTATTTGATTTGTATCAAAAACTAAAGAAAGTCAAATCACGTTTTTAATTTCATTCATGACCCTGAGCTGACTCTTCCTTAGCAGAGCAATGTGCATTTTTGGGGCTGAATGGAATCCTATGCCTGGCTGAAGCCACACAGCCTGAAGAGACGCCATGCAGCAGTCATGCTTGTGGGAAAAGCAAAATGTGCTGCTAAAGATTTCAGATGCAGTTCCTAGGGAAGAAAACATTCATTCTGGTAAAACAGAAATTAACCTCCACTCCCTAAAATCGTGAGTTGCATACTATCTGATTCTTCTGGAAACCATTTAAACTCTTTAAAGGAAAATGGCTGGGTGTATTCTCTCTGAACTGTGAAGCATGGGAAATATCATCCAAGAGCTATATTTCAGGAAAACTAGAAGGCCATAGAAGAATAGATAGATAGATAGATAGATAGATAGATAGATAGATAGATAGGAAGAAGATAGTTGGATGGATGGATGAATGGATGGATGGATGGATAGATGATAGATAATGGATGGATGGATAGATAGATAATAGATGGATGGATGGATAGACGGATGGATGGATAGAAAGATGATAGATGGACAAATGGATGGATGGATGGATGGATGGATGAATAGAAAAATGATAGATGGATAGATAATAAATGGATGGATGGATAGATAGTTGGGTGGATGGACAGATAGATGATAGGTAGATGGATAGATAGATAATGGATGGATAGATGGATAGAAAGATGATAGATGGATAGATAATAGATGGATGGATGGATGGATGGATGGTTGGATGGATGGTTGGATGGATGGATAGAAAGATGATAGATCGATAGATAATAGACGGATGGATGGATGGATAGCTAGATAGATGGTAGAAATATAGGTGAATTTCATTATTCACTTTGGGAGAATGAAAGAGAAAGCTGTGCAACTAAAAATGATGCTAAAGACCTTAAGAAGATTCTCCCAACACCTGGGCCATCTGGGCTGATTGTACCATGGCCTGGACTACTGAGGCCAAGGGAGTAAATGCTTTCTGGCAATTTGTCTGCTCAAAAGGGGCACATTACTAAACTTTTTTTTTTTTTTTTTTTTTTTGCTTTTTCTATTTCTTTCTTTTTTTGATAAAGGGTCTCGTTCTGTCGCCCAGGCTGCAGTACAGTGGCATGATTATCTCAGCTCACTGCAGCCTCCACCTCCTGGGCTCAAGCGATCTTCCTGCCTCAGTCCCTTAAGTAGCTGGGACTACAGGCCTACACCATCATGCCTGGCTAATTTTTGTGTTTTTTGTACAGACAGGGTTTCACCATGTTGCCCAGGCTGGTCTTGAAGTCCTGAGATCAAGCAATCCATCCACCTTGGCCTCCCAAAGTGCTGGGATTGCAGTCATGAGCCACCATGCCTGGCCATGTTGTGAAATTTGCATAAAGAAGCTATACATGTCAAGTGGAGCACCGCGAGGTTTTGCAGAGTCTAAAGCATAGGTAATGTGTGAACCTCTTTTTTAAAAGGACACCGAATTATGAATATAAAATGATGAGTGTCCCTGCCACGACTGTGGAAGGAGCTCCGTAAGTGAGGCCCCTGGAGTTTAAACTTCCTTAGCTTCCCTGGGAACCCACCATGGGTAGCCATGATGCCTAGAAGAGCTGTAGATGAATTGAGCCTGGGCAAACAGGCTCCCCGAGAAAAACACACAACTCCCTACTGCACACACCAGCAATCCATGGGAAATCAAGGACAGCACCAGGACAATCGGGGAACTCGTCGGCGTTGCTGTGCCACTCAGGGCCACAGCAACCTTGGAAAATGAAGCCAAGTGGTGCTGACGTATTTGACACCATTTCTGGAGTCAGGCCAGGGCAGGCCATTACTCACTGAAGGACATGCTGCATTCCAGCCACCATGACAAGTGCTCTGCACACATCACCTTTTTGCATCCTAAAAGCAATACTAGGTAAATAGAAGATTGTGCCCCTTTACAAATGAGAAACCGAAGACTAGAGAACTCAAATAACTTGCCAAGGTCACGCAGGTGGTCTGTGGCAGAGCGAGGACATACCTGGTCACCCACACGCAGAACCCACATGCTACAAGGTGTGGGCTGGTCTGCGGAAGGGCGAGTCTGTCGTGAAAAACGAGATGCTCTTGAGAAAGTGGGGGAAGGGCCTCATCTGGTGTGTCGCTTAGTTCCTTTTCCTTTTGATCATCCCTTTGTTGATTTATCTTCAGTGGAAAAGTCATGCCAAGTCTACCGAAGTTGAACTTGTGGTTCAACTGGCTTGGGAATACCACACCCCACCCGGCCCGGCATTCTAGGAGCAGCAGTAAGGGAGTCAGGGTGGCCTCTCAGTCTTTTGTATCCTTTGAGTCTCTGCCCTCTTGTCCTTGAGTATGGCTGGATGTGTCACAATGTCCAATAAAAGAAAACGGAGGAACTGAAGAAGAGTTTTGCAGACTTACTTAAAAGAGGAGGGAACAGTTAGCCAAGGGGAGGAAAATCTAAGCATCTACACCCTTGTTCAGAGCTGGTTCATAAAGCAAGCAGAGGCACATAGAATCAAGTAGAACTGTCTTTTAGTTGATCCCTGATGCTTAAAAAGTGAAACAAAACAAGGCATTACCGAGAAGAGCAACCAGATCAGCCATTGGTTCATGAAGGATGCCACCAAAGGTTCCTGAGTGAAAATCCTGGTCTCTGCATTTCACCTGTAGAGTAGATAAAAGGCAAGAGATATACTTCCTGCCTTGGTTGCTTTAGTGGAAGCATTTCATGTGGTGAAATACATATCTGCACGTGTCCCTCAGAACTCAGGTAGTCAACCTCCAGACCTGACTTCACTTTCCATGTTTCTCAGTCATGGGGACTGGAGTTCCTACCCGCTGTCCATTGCTTCATTCCCACCATCTTCTGAATACCCTGAAGCTGACTCATTCCCCAGCTTTTCCACCACCTTTATTCTAGCCAAGATCATGAGGCTCTCCCTGGCCAAATGATTGATGTTTACACAGCTGTCTTCCTTTTGGTTTCATCCAATATTGTTGATCACTCCTCTTTCTGGAAAAATTTTCTTCCCTTGGTTTCTGAGGAGCTTTCTTCTCTTTCTTCTTTTCTTGCCTGCAGGACAATTCTATTGATATCTCCTGTAATAACATCTTTTCTTCCTCCCACCTCTAAAGCTTAATACTTGGCTCATCCTTCCTCTACATGAGCTTCAAGAGCTCACAGGATAGCATTTATGTATACAGCACCCTTGACATAAGAGTGACTCTGTCTTAGAAAAAGACTCCATCTTACATTTCCTAAGGCACTTTGCCAACAGGGACTAGGTGTTCTGCCTGATCAATAAAGACTGCATCCAGCTGGATAAGGATATAACCAAACACGTTCTTCCACTATTGGTTCTCATCAGAGGACTTGGCAGTCATAAAACAACCAGGACGTCAGCAGTTCAAAACTTAACAGACACGGTCCTGCTGTCACTTGTGCTAAGAACCCAGCATCTGCCACCAAAGGCTCTGCCCAAATCAAAGGCTCTTCCTTACAAGACCACTGGACCACCTGGGCCAGGCCAGGGTTTCTTTTTGTCTATGTCACACTCCCTGGACTGGTTCATTAACCTGTTTTCCTATCCCTTTTCTTTTTTTAAATTATTTATTATTATTATCATTATTATTATTATCATTATTATTATTATTATGAGACAGAATATTGTTCTGTGACCTAGGCAGGAGTGCAGTGACACGATCTCAGCTTACTGCAACCTCCGCCTCCCAGCTTCAAGTGATTCTTCTGCCTCAGCCTCCCAAGTAGGTGGGACTACAGGTGCACGCCACCATGCCCAGTTAATTTTTTTGTTTTTTTTTAGTAGAGACAGGGTTTCACCATGTTGGGCAGGCTGGTCTTGAACTGCTGACCTCAGGTGATCCACCTTCCTCAGCCTCGCAAAGTGCTAGGATTACAGGTGTGAGCCACTGTGCCCAGCTGCTTCTGTCTTGATGGTAAATGTTACTTTGTTTGTTATGGAATATTCAGTCTATAACATTCACATATTGGCTAGGTATAGCACAATGTATGCTTTACAATATCGACTGTCTTGTGGAGTAGCTTGAGCCTGTGTGCCTGCAGCTCTGACTCCTGAGTGAATGGGAGGCACTAAGGAGAATTGCCTCCTTGGAAACTGCATGGAGCCCGTGGCTTTTATTATTGAGATAGCATCAGTAAAAGCCTGACATTGTGGAAAGACACAAACATGTGTGGACCTGGTTATCTCTGACCATGCGGTGCTCACGATAATTTAAGGGCAGGGATACTATTAACACCTCTATGCCCTTAAATGTTCATCCCTGGAGGTCTGACCTACTCCATAAACACCAGACCTAAAACTCTGGGGTGCTTACAGTGCATTCCACTTGAGCATGCTTCCAGTTTCTGAAACTCAGGAGATCTAGACCCGAATTCAACCACTTCTGTAATTACTTCCTACCAGCATGATTTCTCCTATGTACGCCATATCCAATCAACTACCAATTTCTACAGGTTGGGCTTTTTTGAAGTTGATTCTTCAGTTCATCCCCTCCCATCCTTCCAGCCCAGCTGGTCTTTACTGTGTTCCACTCCATCTTCAATGCAGTACCAGAGCAATCTTCGGTTTATTCACTTTAGCATTAAGACTTTCAGTTCACTAGGCAATAATGCTAGCTAAATTACTCTGGAATATGGACGGTCTTACTTCGAAACCTTGAGCTGGCTGTCTCACATCCTGATGACAGCTCTCCTCCTCCTCTCTTGTAACTTCGCTGTACCACCTGTTCTCGGTCTTCATCAAGACGTCAGTCCCTTGACCCTTCCAAGATGTTCCACATTGCCCTCCTGCCTTTGTTTTTTCCCCTGTTCAACCTGAATACCACCATTGATCACCTCAGCCCCTCTGCTCAACACCTTGACGAGCTCTTCCTTACTTTCTCCACCACAACCCTCTGGAGTAACCTCAACCCCAGGGCCAGTCTGCCCCTCCGAGGCCTTCTCTGTTCCTGGCCACTGAGCATGCTGCAGAAGCCATCAATTTGCATGGATAGATGACTCCAGACCTTAACATTGCCTGGCTTTTCTTCATCCTCCCATCCCTTCTCTTCCCCCTGTCCCAAAGTGACCACTTCAAGCCATCACTTCACTGCAGATACACTCACTTCCTGCTAAACAGAAAAAAATTGAGGCTAAGAGGGAAGAAACGCTAGGACTTGGAGCTCTCTACCTACTCAAGGCCCTCACAAAAGAGGTTACTTTCCTCCCATGGGTCTGGAGCTCGCCCCCTCCCACCTCCTCGGAGCCTTTATTCTCAAAAATCCTCCCCCTCCCTCCCAGGTCTCCAACTGCTGCCTCTGTCAATTGCCTCCCAAAGACTTCCTCCAGCCATCATCCCAGCTCTGTTCTACTTTTCACAGCCATGTTTCCTGAAAGCGGGTTCTAGAGAACAGTCCCTGCTTCCTGTTTTCTCCGTCACTCCCACATCTCTTTAGTATCTGTATCTCACTAGAAGTAAACTTCCTGAGGGCAGAGACTATTTTATTCAGTTCTGTACCCCTGGGACTTAGCATCCTCCTATCTGATAAATAGAAGGCACTCACTGTTTTTCAAATGCATAGCCATGTGTTTCCGTGTATGTGCTCACATCTGAATCTCAAAACTGCCTAGGGATTGGATAGAGTATGGATTATCAGCCTACACACTGCTATATGAGAAAACAGACTGAAATGATGAAATAATTAGCTATTTACCCGGGAGGGACTTTCTAAGTCTCATGCATTATCACAAGTTGCCTGTATTACTAGAAAAAGAGAAAAGGGGAAGGAAACTGACTATGCATCAAACCTGAACTAAAGGCTGCATGTAATGACACAGCCATCCTGGAAGGGGGCATTATTGTGCCATCTTTCAAGGTGGGAAACCAAGGCTCAAGATGAAGCCACCTGCACAAGGCTGGGCATGGTAGAAGCTAGGTTTCAGATACTGGCCTCGGGTGACACTAATGCTCTTTCTCCTTCCCTGTAACCACAGCACTTAGATTTCCTGCCACTGCGGCCAGCAGGCCCACCTGGGAGCAGGACACAGCACAGTTGCCCCTGCATTGATCAGGCAGTCTGCTTACCTCCCTGTGGCTGCCATACCTGCCTGCAAATCCCATGGCCAGAGTTTCCAAGCTTTGCTTTGTGAGTCACAAACCCCTGTGAATCCCCTCTCCAGAACAAGGTACATAGCCACATCCACTCCAAGTGTCAGGGGGTTCATGACCTCCCCAAACCCCAAGACCTCTGCACCCACCCCACCTCCCCTAAGGCTGTGTGCCCCAAGTAAGGCCTCTGCCCTCTGGAAAGCTTTCTTTCTTCCTCTCCAAGATCCCAGAATGGATTGGCACTCCCATTCACAACCCCCACAGGCCTCCATCCATGCACTGCTCTCTGTGGACACCTCCACCATGAAGTAGCTGTTCCCCCGGGTTCCGTAAGTGATTGCTGGCTTCCTTTGGCTGATCCACAGGTTATCTGAAATTACGATGTAGTCCACACCAGAGAAGAATCGGTTCTTTTCTTTTTCCACAAGTTCCTCCAGGGCAACAGAGCCAGCCTCTTCCATCCCCTCAATGATGAATTTGATATTCACAGGAAGATCCTAAGTAACAACAGAAGAAAAAAATTGCACAAGTTGCCTGATGTGGTTTGGCTGTGTCTCCACCAAGTCTCAACTTGAATTGTATCTCCCAGAATTCCCACATGTTGTGGAGGGACTCAGGGGGACGTAATTGAATCATGGGGGCCAGTCTTTCCTGTGCTATTCTCGTGATAGTGAGTAAGTCTCACGAGATCTGATGGGTTTATCAGGCATTTCAGCTTTTGCTTCTTCCTCATTTTCTCTTGCTGCGGCCATGTAAGAAATGACATTCACCTCCCGCCATGATTCTGAGGCCTCCCCAGCCATGTGGAACTGTAAGTCCATTTAAACCTTCCCACTCTCAGGTATGTCTTTATCAGCAGCATGAAAACAGACTACTACATTGCCCATTCACCTTTGAAGATCCATTATTTGTTTGCATATAACATAAACACATGAAATTATTATTTACATTCAATGTATGAATGTGCATTCCCCACAGTTCTGTTACAGCAATGGAGTCGTAATTATGGTTGTGAAGGAAAATTCAAGGTAACGCCTGGTGCGTGCCCTCCAACATGTCCTGCCAATTTAATGCTATGATCAAGAATTGGGGAAAGAGGCATCTACAGGAAAGCACATTCTATACTACAGAGCTTCCCCGTGTGGCTGCAGAGGGAGGCATTTTTCTCCTTCTCCCCAAAAGGAATTTTTCAAGAAAGGTTAGGCAATTACAAATCACTTTTCTGTCCTCATAATTCTGAACATGAAAAAGGAGAAATTTCTCCTTTGAAAGATTGTTAAGCCTCAGGTTAATTTTTACTTCAAGTATCTGTTATTTTTCAGCTGTGATTTCAATCTGCCTTTTAACTTATTCAAAGGCTTTGATCTTGCAGCAAAATGGAACTTGAGGGTTTTTTTTTAGTTAATATTAGGGCAAGGAATAGCTCCTTTAAAATTTTTACAACATGCTTCTTCCCCCATTTGGTTTTGATCTTTTTGTATCTTTATAATTTATAACTTCATATCTTTGAGAACCACATTAAGAGGAGAGGTCAAAGTCTTCTCCTAGAGCACAGGATGCGTGCAGAACTCTAAAAGTGATTACATGCAGATAAACAGCATGCACACACTATAATCAATTCTAATAAGTGGGCTTGACTCACCACAGATTAACAAATGCAACATGAGCACAGGATTATGGATGAGAAAATAATAAGTTACGTAGTAGTTAAAATGAGAAAATTAGAAAATCAGTCATTCAGTTGGAGAAGAGCTTTTGGGGGATAGTGATTTGTTCATATGTATCCCTTGTGTTTCTGTGTGTCTTAGGAAGTCCATCTGGAGTTCTGAAATCTTAATATCTGAAGGTTCTGTGTGAACACTGAACTAGCAAACAATTGCTGAAGAGTAGTTGGAAATCCTAAGAATTTTCTGGCAAGTCACTTTTAATAAAATACAAACCCATAGCACTCAGCATGCAGGCCACATGCATTAGCAGCTGGGTTTGCCAAGCTTCCCCTTGGCAGCTCACTGCTCTACCTGTGAAATATGGATATTAGTACTCACTCTGCCTCCTAGAAAATAACCCAGGGAGGGAATGTGTCCTAAGAGCTCTGTGGGCAAGGCGGGCAGAGGAGAAGAAGGGAGGGAGGGAGGAAGAAGGGGACACTCTCGAAGGACCTCACACACCACCCCCAGTGCAGATATTTCCTCACTGAATCCCTGTAAGCCTGTGAGGTAGAAACTGCCATTCCCACTTTGATCACAGACGAGGAAAGTGAGGCTCAGAGATGAACTGACGTGTCCAGGGTAGTGAATATTTCTTCTGTTTTCTTTGTGATTGTGTAATTTTCAGAGTTGAAATTTATAAAGGAAAACAGATTTTGGCCTTTTTATCGGAACAATCTTATAAATATTGCTATCCCTTAGAAGGAGAGAGAGAGAGAGGAAGAAAGAGAAAGAAAGGAGAGAAGGAAAAACAGGGAGGGAGACAGAGAAAGAAACCAAACCCACATGGAATGCTCAGGGCATGGGTGGTGTGAGCTTCATGGATAAGAAGACACCTTTGCAGTGGTCTGCAGGACACCGCCGAGACCTGTGCTGATTTCCTGAGCGTGTCTTCTGTGAGATTCAGGAGTGGAGTCAGAGTACTTAAGTCCCCTCCGTCTGCTTATGTCTTAGGAGAAAATAAACTTCTGAGGGAAGTCCCCGGCACCTAATGAAATAATCTTCAGGGAAAGACACCCCAGAAGCCCGGGTTTTCTCTGCAGGACAGGGCACCAGGGAGGCCCCTCAGCCCTCAGGGCCTTGCAGCCTTGGACAGGGCTGAGGCGGTGCCCAGGACAGGGCAGATGGAACCATACCCCAAGGTTGACCTGATTCTGTTCCACAGAACAGAATCCGAGGCCCAGAGAGGTCAAGTCACTTGCCCAAGTTCACACAGCTAGATCCAGTCCTCTGTTGGTGTCTAAGTACATTCGCCAGGAGCGGGAGAAGAGTGCCTTGAGATAAAACCATCCTTGTGTTGAAACATGAGATAGTTAAAGGTACAAACCTGGGTCCACCAACAATGTCCTCTGGAGGCCGGAAAGAGGGGACCCACCTCCTCAAATCTGTACCCCTGCCTCTGCTCCAGAGCCCTTATTTGGACATCTAAAGAGAACCACTGTGCTCTCAGGGAAGAGATCCAAGGATTCCTGCGGAATGTCATGGAGATTCCTATCTTGATCATTTGCAAAGCAGCCGATACATTTAAAAAATGTGTGTTTGTCTCTGCTAACAAATCATACTTTGTGATAAGAAGAAAAAGAAGATTAAAAAAGACAAGATAAGATAAAATAAGGATTAAACAAAAAAAGACAAGTCCCATCAGATAGCAGCTTGGCTTGTTGTGTCTTTGGCTGTGTCTTGTTTTTTAACGTGGTTAAAAGTGCAGGCTGGAATCCATCCTCAAAGTATCAGCCTTGCCACCAGCTGCACTGCTCTGGGTAAGTTCTCTGACCTTCCCAAGCCTTACTGTCCTTATCTGTAAAATGGATACAATTGTCCACATATCTCCAAAGAAGATTGTTGGAGTGAATAAGTGACCTAAGGCAGTTTGCTCAGAACACAGCAAACAACTCAAAGTAAGTTGTAGTTACCATCCTCCTCCTCCTCCCTCCCGAACACAGCTGTCACCTACTTGCTCCAGGGCTCTGAAGGCGCTCACAGCATTGATCCAAGCCAAGACAGGACCTTTGTTGTCGGTTGCGCCTCGTCCATAAAGTTTCCCTTTACAAAGGGAAGAAGAATGTTCAGAGAAGTGTGGACACCTCTGCCACGTGAGTTAAAAACCAATGTTGTTTCATGGGTGCTAATGTTAACAGTGCTTTCTATAATAATATTCCAGGCACAAATCTTGCTATGAAATTGCAAAGTATGATTTCTTATGTACAAATAAGACCGGACACAAGAGATCCTTGGATCTCTTCCCTGACAAATAGTATAGTCGTCAGCTAGTCAGATAAGACAAGGAAATTTGCAATAGACAGATCCCACTGTCCTTAACAATAATTAGCTATTTTATCCAAGTTCACTGAAGAGACCCACCGGGGATTTGTTGCAGAGTGCCATGTGGCATGGCCTCTCATTTTGGGATTTTACAATTAGTAGAAGAATGAAAAAAATACATGTGTATATCTCTATTAACCTTTCTTCTTTTTCTTTATAAAATGCGAATTACGTTTGATACTGTTCAAAAGGAAAGTGTGTGGCCTCAACAACTGTTTTCCCCACAACTCAAGAACCTCCATCCAGGGGCACAAAAGTGTGGTTTTAATTCACAAATGAAAGAAAACCAGCCTCAGTGAACCAATCAGTAGGCTATGAGAGCCACTTCTCTATGAATTCTTCTTCTTTTTTTTTTTTTTTTTAGATGGAGTCTCACTCCGTCATCCAGGCAGAATGGAGTGCAATGGTGTCATCTCAGCTCACTGCAACCTCTGCCTCCCAGGTTCAAGTGATTCTCCTGCCTCAGGCTCCTAAGTAACTGGGATTACAAGCATGTGCCAGCATGCCAGGCTTTTTTTTTTCCCCAGAGTCTCGCTCTGTCACCCAGGCTAGAGTGCAATGGTATGATCTCAGCTCACTGCAACCTCCACCCCCTAGGTTCAAGCAATTCTGCCTTGGTCTCCCAAGTAGCTGTGATTACAGGCGCCCACCACCATGCCCAGCTATTTTTTCGTATTTTTAGTAGAGATGGGGTTTTGCCATGGTGGCCAGGCTGGTCTTGAACTCCTGACCTCAAGTGATCCAACCACCTTGGCTTCCCAAAATTACAGGCATGAGCCACCGCACCAGGCCTATGCATTCTTAATGACAGGGAGAGACCCGAAATCCAGGGACACAGCCACATCTTCACCCCTTCAATCTTGTAAGCACAGCAGCTCCGCACTGTAGCCTGGGTGCCTCACTGACCGTCCACCTCCGTCAGCACGTAGGGGTCCGTGAGCCACCCATCGCCCTGGTCGGCAGGCTGCACGTCCAAGTGGCCGTAGAAGCACACGGTGCGTTTCGTGGGATCGTTCCCCAGTTCGGCCAGGATGACGGGAGGTATTGGAAGACTCTGACCATCGGGCAGCTGCAAAATGATCAAGAATCACATTTTTAAAAATGCTGTGTTGTTCTTCCAGAAAATTCAAATACATGATATTGGGAGTCCTCTTCAGGCTATCCCTGGGTCCTTGGAGAGCCCATGCCATTTTTCTGAGCATCAGTTTCTCCATCTCTAAAATGAGTCCCATGAAACACATTTTTTTCTTTTGGAGACAGGTCTCGGTCCCGGCGCCCAGGCTGGAGTGCAGTGGCGCACTCCCAGGCTTATGTGATTTTCCTACCTCGGCCTCCTCATAGCAGCTGAGACTCCAGACATGCGCCACCACATCTGGCTACCTTTTTGTATTTTTGGTAGAGACAGGTTTTGCCATGTTGCCCAGGCTGGTCTCAAACCCTCAGGCTCAAGGAATCCGCCCGCCTTAGCCTCCTAAAGTGCTAGGATTTCAAGTGTGAGACACTGCATCCAGCCAAGACACTTTTAATTAAGATATAAAACCTAATTAAAAGTAAAGCGCTTCTTTAGATCCACATTGACAATTAGCATCATTAGCTGAATGTGCTCTTCAGTAAGAACGCAGATGGGCCAGGAACGGTGGCTCATGCCTGTAATCCCAGCACTTTGGGAGGCCAAGGCGGGCAGATCACGAGGTCAGGAGTTGAAGACCAGCATGGCCAACATGGTGAAACCCTGTCTCTAATAAAAATACAAACATTAGCTGGGCGTAGTGGTGCACGCCTGAAATCCCAGCTACTCGGGAGGCTGAGGCAAGAGAATTGCTTGAATCGGGACTTTGGAGGTAGAACTTGCAGTGAGCTGAGATCGCACCACTGTACTCCAGCCTGGGCTACAGAGCAAGACTCTGTCTCAAAACAAACAAACAGAAAAAGAATGCAGACGACAACTGGCTTAAATTAGGTGGACAAATCCTAGGAAATGTGGACAATCCCAAGGTTCCTCAGTGCTAAAATAAGCACAGCAGGTGCTTAGATTTAAGACATTCATGATGGAGTAGAGTTCTAAGAGACAGTTCTGATGAAAAAAACACAGCTCCAGATACAATGCCTTTGAGAAAGATGCATATGAATTTAAAGAAAAGGACAATTTCCTTTTCCTTAAAGAAGAAATTGGAACCTTGTGTCCAGGAAGTGAAGAGTACAAGAGAGTCCTTTCCATAATAAAGGGACCTTCACTTGTCATCTGCACTGGCTTCTAAGAGTCCGTCCCAGCCCTGGAGTCCTGATAGGACTGGAAAGCAATAACACAGCTTCGTTCGAGACCAAGGGAATGCTTCATCTTCATTAGGAATTGGGGGGTTTTGGTTGAGGATCAGGGTGAACCTCTCCCTTGCCACCCCCGGGAAGGCACAATTGATGTCTAGAAGTAGCTGCTCCCTCGGTGGGCGGGAACACCACAGCACCTGCTGAGAACCCATGTCCACCGAGGTCACACGGGCCCCCAGGCGCTGCAGTGTGTCCGCGGCCACAGCCATCATTCTGAAGAGCTCTTGTCTGAAGCGAGGCACGGGCTGGACAGAGTCGCTCTCGATGGCCACCCACTCCTTCAGCGTCTAGGAGGGAGAGTAAGCAGACCATTAGCATGGGGGTCCCACATCTGCTCCGGGGGGAGCGAGGGGAGGGCAGGAGACGGCGAGTCCCCAGGTGCTCTTCTGTTGATTGAGGACCTGAGGACCTATGACAGTGCCAGTGAACACTGTGACATTCAAGAGTAACAGAATAGCTGGGGTTTTAATCAGGAACCCGGAGGCCAGAGATGCCTGGTTAGTACAGAAGGTCAGGCAGGGTGGGCTGGGAGAAAGATGATGGTCTGGGTCCCCACTGGGTTCCCCAGGGCTGTCAAGAAGGGCAAGTCCCCACCCACTGTTTCTCATTATTAAGAACTGAAGAGCTGGTGGGTTCTCAGCTTTCTCCAGGACTCCTTGCTTCCCACACCTGGCCCTGGAAGCCTCCGGGCCATGACTGAACCCCACAGTGGCCTCCACTGGGCTGCAGGTCCCTTCTGACATGCTCTGCACTTAGATTCCCAGCCCGCCCCTCCCTGCGCTCCTAGGATCCCACAGGCACTGTGACGTCGGGCTTAAACTCAGCCTGTCATAGCTGTGTGACTTTGGGTGTATTCCTTAATCTCCCTTAGCCTGAGTGTTCTCATCTGCACAAGAAAGTAACACTCCCTAACGATAGGGTGATGGTGAGGACCACTGAGGTAACGTGTGCACAAGCCTCAGCCTGGTGCCGGGCACCTGGCGGCCACTCCAGCAGTGCTGGCTGATATGAATGACTGATAAGAACCATCCACACACCGGTGTTGGAACCTGAGTGGCTCCTACTGAGACAGTCAGCATTTTTATGAAAAACTACACAGATTTACTGATCTTAGACTTCTCTTCCTGACTCATTTGAGTTTGATCTCTCTATCCTGGTTGTAGTGCTTTCATTTTTATTAAGAAGGCATTTATCTAACCCTAATGAATATTATGTTTTACATTTTTAAACTGGAATTTATGGAACAGAGACTGCTGGCTTCTCCCTAAGTTCAGTAGATTTGGGTATGTTTGAGGGACTTAGGGGGCTTGGGGTACAAAGTTCAGGGAGACCTCAAGGAGCTCCCAGCCTGGTGAACACAGACACCACCACATCAGTGTGCACATGTGTGGGGGTGTGTGGGGATGGAACCAGTCGGCCACAGAGGGCACAAGAGAGCTTAGGAGAGCGGGGCTGGGGAGGAGCTGGTGAATCTGTGGGCTCCAGCAAGCTCCTGCCTTCCCACTCCTCCTCCTGTCTCCTCCTGCTCCCCAGGCCTCCCTCTTTTTGCCGTTCCACCTCACCCTCCCTCTACCCCACTCCCACCCCGTATATGTACAGGCCCTGTATGGTGAATTAGGGGTGAAGCAGAGGATTATAAACTTGGGAGGCTGAGGCAGAAGGATCACTTGAACCCAGGAGGTTGAGGCTGCAGTGAGCTGTGTTTGTGCCACTGCACTCCAGCCTGGGTGACAGAGCAAGACCCTGTCTCAAAAAATAATAACAACAAAAAAAAGGGTCAGGCGCGGTGGCTCATGCCTGCAATCCCAGCACTTTGGGAGGCCGAGGAGGGCAGATCACTTGAGGTCAGTAGTTCAAAATCAGCCTGACCAACATGGGGAAATCCTATCTCTACTGAAAAAACACAAAAATTAGCTGGGCATGTTGGCAGGTGCCTGTAATCCCAGCTACTTGGGAAGTTGAGGCTGAGGCAGGAAAATCACCTGAACCTGGGAGGTTGTGGTGAGCTGGGGTTTCACCACTGCACTCCAGCCTGGGCAACAGAGCGAGACTCTGTCTCAAAACAAATAAATAAATGAATGAATGAATGGAGGAGATAAAATGCCTATTGCACACATACTACAAAATAAAAAACGTTGCTGTTGAACTTTGCAGAGCTCCCTGGCTCCCCAGCTCTGCCTAGGCCTTACAATAACGTCAGGTGGCATCAGGAATGGGCGACCTGATGGACCAGGGCAGACTTGAGCTCAGTGGAGGTGCTGGTCGTCTCTGCGTGGACATCCCTGGATCAAGTGTGCTGGATATGAAGAGACAGTGCCCTTTGCAGGAGGAATGGCTAGGAGGGGTCTCTTCCATCCATCTAATGAATACTGAAGATTTTTAACACAATGAGCAGTTACAGGCATTTTAAATGGAATTAGGCAAAAATATCCACATCTCCAAGCAAATAATTGTCTCACCCAAATACCAAAGGATGTAATCCATGCATTCTGTGTGTAGTTTCCTTCTCCTACCTGCACAAATTCATCCTGATGGAGGTCAATGTACTGGAAGACTTTCTCTAACAGCGCCGGGGGCACGGAGTGTGAAGAGAACATGTCTCCCTCCAGCAGCAGCAGCACAGCCAGCAGGGACGCAGCCTGGACGGGTTCGACACAGGAGGAACGAATGAAAATCAGCACCAGTCGCTGGACTTTGGACCTTCCAAATTCCTCAAGAAGGGTTGTTATCTCACACAGCTGCCTCCAGTCAGTCGGAATAAAATAACACAAGGCGGTAGAACCAAACATGTTATTTTTTGCTACGTCTTTCCCCAAACACTTTATTTCCAATGCTAAAGAATTTTAATAAGACAAAAATCGAGTTAACAAGCTCATCTTTAAATAACATCATTCCATTTATTCCTAGGATAAGGTGTTTCCTCCTGGCCCCTTGGGGAGGCCAGTTCTGCTGCCCAGGAGTGAAGGACGATCTTTACAAGACAGAAAAGAGCAAGGTAGAACCGAAAACAAACATGCAAAAATCTTCCATGTGTGATGAACTACTGCACTAGACAAAGGAATTTCTGAGCAATGCCTAAAATCCAGGGTTGTGGGGTTTCTTTCCACTGGCTCCTGAAATCACAGTACTTTAACAAGAAAGGAAGAAAAAGGTCTGAGGTGGTGGTTCGTGCCTGTAATCCCAGTACTTTGGGAGTTCGAGGTGGACGGATCACTTGAGGTCAGGAGTTGAAGACCAGCCTGGCCAACATGGTGAAACCCCGGCTCTGAGAGACCCATCCACACCCCTGCCTCCTCCCTCCTTTCCCCTCCCCGACCCCTGCTCAGTCTCCCCAGCCCATCCACAGCTGGAATGACTCCACCTGGGAGTCCTCGAGAGCCTGAGAACCAGTATTCCTCCTTGACGCCCGACAGGAAGGTCCTGTGGCAAAGTGGGCAAGGGTCACCCCTTCACAGAGGCCCCCCAGAGCCCTGTCTGGAGTGGGAGCTGCCGGCATCAGGCTCAGGGGCCACCTGCACATCTGGAGGGGCCATTAGCAACATCTCCCCCAGTGCAGCCCCAGCCACCAGAGGCTGGAGAAGAGGAGGGAGGGAGTGAGGGGTGGGGAGGGCCAAGGGGGCTGCAGCCCGTGGTCAGACCCCCGACGCCAGGTTCTTGGCTAGGAAAGCCACCAGCTATCCCCAGGAGACCAGCTGGGCTCCACTTCAGAAGCCAAACCCACCCTCCTGCTGCAGGAGGAAGGAGGGACGAGTTTAACCTAGCCTGTCTCTGTTAGTTTTGTCTCTGGAATCCCATCTTTTATCATTTTAAATGTTTGAGATGTTTTACATTATAAAATTATAATTGTTTAATCTATGATTCTTTAAATGCCCACCTGTCCATAGGTGGAGGTGAGCAGGGGTTACAGGGAAAACAAAGGGAACTAGGCTGGTGAAGTCTCAGTGCCATCCCCGAGACCTTGAGAGACAGGTGTGCTCACAACGAGAGGACGCTCATTACGGATGTGGCCCCGCCAATGCTGCTTATTTTACAATGGAGCATCTGCAAGGCTGTTTGAAAAGCAGTTGAATATTTTTGTTTTCATTCTGTCATTTTCATGGCTTCCTCTAATCCACTCTCCACGAAGCAGCCTGGGTGATCATTTTAAAGGTAGGGCAGATCGCAAGACTCCCTGTTTTAGCTCTTCCAAGAGGTCCTATTGCCCTTGTGGTAAAGCAAATATCCCCATGCCCCCCAGGACTTACATGGTGGATCCCACCTGCTTCTCCAACCAGACCTCCTCCCTTGTTGGGGTACCATGCAGGGCCCCTCCATCACTTTCCACCTGTTCCCAAATGCATTGCTGAATCTTCCTCCATGCCCCTGCCCATCCCTTGGCCTCAAGCCCCCATGGAGCAAAGGTGAGCTGGGGAGCATCCAAACTGATGAGCCCCCCAACACATTGCACAGGCATCTGAAATGAAATTGTGCACAGGGAGCTGTGTTCTGTCTCTTCTAGGAATTCACTTCCAACAAAACATCTAGTCCTACTGAAAATGTCCCAGATGGCAAGAAAGAGTGCATCTCCCTAACCAGAGTGTCACTTAGCACCTGGGGTCAATCCATCCCATGCCCAAAAGGACAGTCACTCCCAGGCTGTTCTACCTTCTGTCAGATCATCACTGAAATGCTACAGGGATGTTCAGGCTTCAAGAACTTTTCAGCTAGGATTCAGCTGGCACAAAATCTGAGCAACCACAGAGAACCTGTGTTCACAAAACAAGGCAGCAGAGTGAGAGTCAATGCTGGGTGAGCGCATGTGGGTAAAGCAGTGCAGTCGGGGTGGCATCACAGGGAGATCACAGGCCTAACAGTCAGGAGGGCCAGCACCAAGTTCAGCCCTGCCAGATCCCAGTTGTGCTCCTTCAGGTACCTCTCTGAGCCTGAATTCCCTCAACGGTCATCAGGGACTGGAAGCCTCACAGTGGTTGAGGACCCAACCAAAGAGCTATAGAAAAATGTGTGGCTCCGAGCAGACAGAGAGCTCACCAGCTGTCAGGAAAGCAGTCAGACATGCCGTGAAATGCAGACCATGTCCCATCATGGGGTGGCGGTGGTCAATAGCAGCGTCTGGGAGGAAACTGGTGCTGAACACTGACGGGGAGGAAGGGTAAGTTTGGGGAAGGGCAGGCATTCGGGGCAGAAGTTTTAACCTCTGGAAGTTTCCTCTTTTTGAAGCAGGAGAATGTATCAAAACGTTCTAATAAGAGTCTGAATTTTGCTGGAGAATAATCGAGAGGTAATTGTAAAGTTTAAGAATAGTTATAAATATTCTGGAGAGTGAACTGGCTTAAGGACACACATACATATCAATCAAATAGAACTGAAAACCCAGAAATAAATCCTCACATTTATGATCAACTGATTTTCATCAAGGGTGCAGAGATCATTCAATGGGGGAAAAATAGTCTTTTCAATAAATAATGCTGGGAGAATTGGATATCCACAGGCAAATGTTAAAGTTTCACCCCCTTCCTCACACCATATATAAGAACTAACCCAAAATGATCAAAGACCTAAATGAAAGTACTAAAACCATAAAACTCTTAAAAACAAACAAACAAACAAACAAACATAGCTGTAAATCTTCCTACCTTTGGATGAGGTGATGGTTTCTTAGATATGACACCAAAAGACAAGATGGATAAATTGGACTTCATAAAAAATAAAAACATTTGTCCATCAAAGAACACCATCAAGAAAATGAAAAGACAACACATAGAATGTGTGTGTGCATGGAGGGGGGGATTACAAATCACATATCTGATAAAGGACTTATGTTGAGAATATAAATAACAATTACAGTTCAATAATAAAAGAAAGCCAAATTTAAAATGTGCAAAGGATTTGAATAAATGTTTCCTCAAAGACAATATACAAATGGCCAATAAACACATGGCAAGTTTAGGCTTAGCATGATTAGCCATCAGGAAAACACAAATCAAACCACATGAGACACCACTTCCTACCCATTAGGATGGCTAGAATTAAAAAGCCAGACACTAACAAGTTTTGACAAAGATGTAGAGAAATTGGAACATTCATGTACTGCTGATGGGAAGTCAAAAGCCTGCAGTCACTGTGGAAAACAGTCTGAAAGTTCCTTAATCTATTAAACATAGAGTCACCATATGACCCAGCAATTCTACTCCTGAGTACATATCCAAGACAAGTGAAAACATATGTCCACACAAAAACTGGTACATGATGTTTATAACGGCATTATTCATAGTAGCCAAAAGGCAGAAACAAGACATGTTCATTAATGAATGAATGGATAAATAAAATCTATATTTCACTGAAATATTATTTGGCTATACAAAATGATTTTCATCTTACATAAAAAGGAATGAAGTACTGGCATATGCTACAATGCAGACAAACTTTGAATACATTGTGCTAAGTGAAATGAGCCAGAGACAACGGCCACGTATTGTGATTCCATTTACGTAACAGTCCAGAGTAGGTAACTTCATAGAGACAGAAAGTAGTAGATTGGTGGTTACTCAGTGGGAAAATAGGAAGGGAATGCTAATGAATAGGGGTGCCTTTGGGGTGATGAAAATGTTATAAAAATCGATTGTGCAATGGTTGTATAATTCTGAATATACTAAAAACCATTAAAATTGCACACTTTAAATGGGTCAATTGTAAGGTATAAGAATTATATCACAATACAGTCATTATACAAATAATCATAGCTATAGCCACTCATTTGACAATACAAATACATTATCAAGTATGAAAACTGTAGATAGAGGAAGCTATGCATTGGTTAAAAGCAAGGTCAAGGTGAGCAATGCCCATTCATGAGCTGATTAAGAACTGCGTCCAGTAGGTGGTGCTGATGAGCCGCTCATGATCTCCCTGGCTGCCCTGTACTCAGAAGGCTGAAGCGGGATCCAGCCCAGCTCTGAGGGACTTAGCCAGGAGCCAGGGTCCACAGATAAAGTCGATGGGAGACACTCCTCTGGCCCTCCAGTAGCCAGAGAGGGAGCTCAGGTGCAAGGAAGCCTTCAATAAAGGCTCTTGGAGACAACAGTGGCTCCCCCTTTTTTTTTTTTTTTTTTTCAATCGATCCATCTACATCAACATTTGAGCTTTTATTTTTCCTTCAGACAAGTTCCATTAAAAAAAAAATTGGTGTTCCTCTCCAGTGAAAAATAAAAAAGGAAAGTTGGAAGAAGGAAATAAGCTGCAGGAAAAAAATATGAAAACAGTGATTGTTGTAAGGACAGAATAGTTCAGATTCAGCAGGAGCCTCCTCCTCCTCTGGCCCTGGGAGAGCAACTTAGCCCTGGTCTCGAATAAAAGACTGACCTGATGCCCTGACCTGACGAGTGGCCCTGACAGCAGGGATCTGGCAAGGGGAAGTGCATGACTTCATCCTCCCTCCCTTTTCCACAGAGCAGGGCAGCCTGCTGTAGTCCATTTGCTATCCAGGTTCATGGACATTGACTTTGGGCATGAATCCCCCCTTCACCATCTGAGTGGGATCAGAGACTCCATCCATTTTCCTCCTGTTCCTCCATGCCTCTGTTTTTGTTTGTGTGTGTGTGTGTGTGTGTGTGTGTGTGTGTGTGTTCAGTTGTGCTTGACC